GCATTTTGTTACCTATGATCCTTACCCAGGACCTGGGATAGGCAGATGTGGATGTTTGATGGTATTACAGATATCGTCGCAGGATGGAAGCAGTTCCTAGTAAGGCCGCCTTTTGCAATTGACTAATAGCGAATTTGTCAATGCCAATGGTGTTCAAGTGGTGCTCCAGTTGTTTTGGGATTGCACCCAAGGAGCCTATCACTATTGGTACTACCCTTGCTTGCTTTTGCCACAGTCTTTCTATTTCTATTTGTAGGTCTTTGTATTTTGTTATCTTCTCCAGTTCTTTCTCTTCTATTCTGCTGTCTCCAGGCACTGCCACGTCCACTATCCAGACTTTTTTGTCTTTCTTATCGACAATTGTTAAGTCTGGGGTGTTATGTTGCAGGTGCTTGTCTGTTTGAATTCTGAAGTCCCAGAGCAGTTTAATTTTATCATTTTCTATGACTTTCTCTATTTTATGATCCCACAGTTTTTGCTTACAGGCAAATGATATTTTTTGCAGATCTTCCAATGCACCATTGTTGCTACTTTGTCATGCCGCTGCTTGTAGTCAGTCTGTGCAATCTTCTTGCAACAGCTTACCAGGTGGTCCACTGTTTCTTCAGCTTCTTTGCATAGGCGGCACTTACTGTCTGTTGCTGTCTTCTCAATTTTGACTTTATATGCATTTGTCCTTAAGGCTTGGTCTTGTGCAGCCAGAATTAGTCCCTCGGTCTCTTTCTTCAATTTTCCTGCTCTTAGCCATTGCCAGGTCTTGTTATTATCTGCTTTCCCAGATATTTTTTTAATGTATTGGCCATGTAGTGCTTTGTCTTCCCATGCCTCTATTCTGTTCTTCATTTGGTCTTTCTTGTAGGCCAGTTTGGTCTCTCCAATAGTCAGTAAGCCTTCCTGATATACTAATTTCAGTGCATCTATTATTATTATTATTATTATTATTATTATTATTATTATTATTATTATTATTATTAAGTTCAGCTGCACCAAAACATAACTAGGAAATCTGAGTTTTGCAGCGCAAAAGCTATAGAAGATTCCAGATGAAATTCCCACATTCCCCCTGACATGATTCTCGAACACAGCAGGGAATTTAAAGCAGAATTCTCTCATTGGATACTATATGTTGCTGTTTAACCGTCAAGGAAAACTTTTTGAAGTAGGAGGAACTCTATCAGTCAGCAATTCCTCCTCTCTGAGGTGGGGAACTCACTCCTGCCTTCTTATAAATTGCTGCTAGTCAGGTCTAATCCTAAAATGTCTTATTCAGAATTAAATAGAAATAAATTAAATTAGTTGCAAATTCGGAGCATGGGGAGGGGCACACAAACAGCCTAGGCATTATGTAGATGCCTCCACTAAAACCATGAAATTGGTTCCATTTTTTTCGGGGGGGGGGGGGGCGGATAGAGAAATAATAGTGACAATAAAGTAAATCATACTGTGTAATTTATTATGGATAAATTGCATTTCAAAAGAACTGTGGCACAAACTCACCCAGGGCTAAGAACTTCATCAGCCAGGGAAGGTATGATCTCATATCCCCAACTGTTCTTTCCATTCATATATCAGAAATTATGCAGGAAACCTAAGAATGAATAAATTTATTTCTGGCTTAATGTTGTTCTTAATACATTTTTTGGCAGTAATATTACCCATATTTATTGTACACTGTGGGGTTTATATCTGAGCACCTAAACATAGAATGGGGACGCATATAATTACCTATAGCTAAGAGTCTACTTAATTAAAGCAAATATTTCTCCAACATCTATCATTTTAAATGTATTTCTGCTCAGCCCTTCAGGATCTTGCAAAGGAAAAAAAGAACTCACATAAACGCAGTATTCAGAAATATTCTTTGCCTTTAAAAATGCTACTATTTACCCTCTTGATATGAGTTACAATTCATTTTCTCCTTCTGATAGCCCTTATTTTCATCAGAGTTTTTACAGCCTCTTCCCAACTTTTATTTCACATTTAAAGCATGAAGTGACTGTAACTGTGTTAAAAACTCTCATTTGGGAGAGTTGGGGCTTCTGTGACAGGTTGATTCGTCTTTTCCACCAACACTTTCATTTTAACATCCTGCAGATTTACTGCAATTGGGAAACGCCCCTTTCAATCAGCGGCATTTTATCCACTGATTTTATCCATCCAAGAATTGCCTTAAAAGGAGGGCTGGGGGGGGGGGGGGGAATGAGAGGGACTGATCCAGCAAAGCTTACCTGACAAAATGAGAATTCCAACCTGGATCTTTCTTCTTTTAGCTTGCATGCTAAACCATGATTGAAAGATTAGTGAAGTACTGTAAGGGAACATGAATAGAAATATTTGCAGAAAGGAAAGCAAAATGGGAGAAACTTTCCATCCATTTCATTCTGGTCCCACCATAAAGTTCTTACCCATCAGCTCTCTGCAGCGCAGTGCTGGAATGGGCTCAGATCCCTGTTCTTTACTACACTCCGTTTTCTCTACCTCAGGAGGGGTTATATACCATCTCCCAGAAAGTGCAATTGAAAACTAATTCTGAATGCACACGTAGGAAAGAATAGGTTCATTTGTCAACCCAGTATCGGTAGAAACATTTTGACAAGGCTATAATGATTCTTCAGGGTTTTCCTATTGTAGCTAAGCCCAACATCACAAACTGCAAATGGAAATAATGGATTTCACTAGCATTAGCAATGGCAAGAGATGGGTAGAAAATACACGGTATTTATGATGGTTGCACTATCCTGGAGTCATGTGACTTTCCATGTATGATCTTCCCAGCCAGTTTAGGACAAGAAAAGTCATTGGGGGAAGACAGATCACTTAATGACGCATGATTCACTTAACAAGTACAGTGACTTATTTAATAACAGTGACCAAAAAGGTTGTAAAATCCGGTGCAACTAATAACAACAGCCTTGCTTAGCAATGGAAATTCTGATCTGGTCATAAACTGAAGACTATCTCTAGGAGACTTTCTATTCTCTTTCTATTCTGAAGATTAGGTCAGATTAGGAGATTTGCAAAATCTCTTCCATGAAACTTACTGGAATCTAAGCCTGTTCTCCAACGTGAAGGAACCAATGATGGAATAGTCTTGTGAAGAGTATAATGTGTGTGTGGGGGGGTAAAGGTTGTAGTAGTACTACATGTAGCAAAAGGACCCATTAATCTATCATAGGGTAGGATAGGAGTTAACCCAGCTGCAATGTAGCAATATGATAATGTGTTGTAATCTGAAAATTATGGTCTGGGTTAGGCTAGGGACAGTATCCACATATTAACCTAATTCACCTTAATATACAGAGATGAATTTACAAACTTGCCCAAATGTTACAGCCTCCTTTGAAAAATTATGGCTAGACAGTATACAGGTAGTCCTTGATTTACAGCAGTTCATTTAGTGACCGTTACAACAGTACTGGAAAAAGTGATTTATGACCATTTTTCACACTTATGACTGTTGCAGTATTCCCAGGGTCATATGGTCAAAATACAGATGTATGGCAGTTAATTCATATTTATGACGTGTTGGAGGAAAAGTCTTCATCATGGTTCAGTCCAAGCCGGGAATAAACAACATGGCAACTGCTTTAGAAAGAAGGTTGCAGTTTATTGAAGAGGAGAGCCAGACAGAAAGATGGCTCTGGAAGAAAAGAGAGAGCACATGTAGGGAGTGGGTTTTTATACCTTCTTGAGCCTTTTGTTTGGAGTTGTTCCTGTGGCATGAACTTTGACCTGAGTCTGAGTGTGCCTTTCTGGTATTCTGATGGTGGTGGGTGACTTCCCACAGATGGTTGCAGTGATCCAGGGTCACGTGATCATCTTGTGCAACCTTCTGACAAGCAAAGTCAATGTGGAAGCCAGATTCACTTAACAGCCATGTTACTAACTTAACAACAACTGCATTGATTCATTTAACACTTGTGTCAAATGGAGCAAAATTCACTTAATAACTTTGTCACTCAGCAACAGAGATTTTGAGCTCAATTGTAGTTGTAAGTCGATTACTATCCGCATTAGAGGAAATGCATACATTTCATGGGGAAAGCAAAGCAAATGTTCTTTGCTTTTTAATGAAAGGAAGCAAGCAAAACTCACCAAAAATGGAATGGGTTTAAGATCAAATATATGAGAAACTGCCATGAACAGAAAGTAGATTTGTAGGTGAGAAGCTAATATAGACTAATAGATTAATTATTTAATTCCTCATTTGGATCCTAACTGCCAGGTATTCCTGGCTGCTGGTTTAGTAATGTTGGGTGAAAAAAAGAGTCCAGTTAACCATTAACAAGTCATTAACTATTCTGTGCTCTGTTCCTCTTTCTTAAGTGGATGTCCAATCTCTCTCCTGCAACACTCACATTGTTCCCACATGCTGTGGGGCCTCAGAGCAGGCTAATCCTTATTATCCTGCCACTCTGGGAAAAGAAAGAAAAAGGGCATTGCTTACCCAGAACTAGCTTCTTGAGCAGACACAGTGACCTCCCCAGCCATTCTGAAATTAGTGAAGGGTGCTAACTATTGAGAGCTGAACATAAGGGACCAAAGACTGATTAGACTGTCATGGAGAAGATTTATGGAGATCCTGGTGTGGGGTGCAACCATGATTGTTCTGGACAATTTCAATGTATTTTGAGCGTTCCAGAATAAAAATCTCTAAATGGACTCACCAAGGCATGGTTGCCTAAACAGAATTGTTCTCCAAAGGCAAGAAAGTTCTGAGAATATAACTCAGTTTATGTGAAATACCCAAATATGTAAAAAAAAAAAAAACCCTAGGAAAATTGAAGCAAATGTTACGGTTTGCTGTCCTCTGCTGTTCAAATCATGCAATAAATATTTCTCTTTCCTTGCAAGGATATTGGTGAGCTATTACTGAAAAAAAAATACACCAATTATGAGACATAAGAATTAGTTAAATTGACGTGACTTGAATAACCCCATTTTCAATGGGGATTCTCAGAGAAATCTATTCAAATCCACATGAACGTTCAAGAACTGCCCACCATCAAAACCAGTTTTCTTTATTGAGATCATTGCAAGTATGAAATATACACAATCTGAATGAACAAGATTAGGTAAGACTGAAGACAGTCAACAGAGTCATCTGTATACAATGTATGAAGACATGATAAACAGACATTCTTGGATGCTTTCTGGTCTTGGAAGATACCGCCTTGGCCAAAGGTAAAAAAGAGAAGGTTTCTTTGTAAAAAGAAAATGTCCATTGTACCTAGCTGATAACTTATAAATCATCATTAACAATTACTTAAAAGAGTTGTGGTGGCACCATAGTTAAAATGTGTGATGTGGACACAATGGACTGTGGGCAAGCTTTCCCAACCATCTTTGTACTCTCACACATCTGAAGGATATAACTGCACAACCTGTGACAAGGAATGATGAAAACAATAATCCACACAACTAAGGAACATCAAGTTGAAAAGGGCTGGTCTAAAGAAGTTTGGACAACAAACCTCCAAACTCAAAGAATGATAAAATAGTCTATTGGGATACATTGTTATGACAACCTACTGAAAATGAATTGATATGAAATGGCACACTAACCACTATACAAGGGGTAGGCAACCTTGACTCTTTTATGACTTTTGGACTTCAACTCCCAGAATTCCTGAGCCAGCATGGCTGGCTCAGGAATTCTGGGAGTTGAAGTCCAAAAGTCATAAAAGAGCCAAGGTTGCCTACCCTTGCACTATACTAACCAATTTTCAGATTTGTGCTTTGGCCTTCAACTTATGATCTATTGGAATATGGGATTTTTATTATAACCCTTTAATACAAGTGCATCCATTAAAGTCACAATGCTCTGTGTGTGATTTTTCTGTAGCAGGAGCCCATCTCGAAGCCATTCCTTAACCAATTACAAATGCGTTGGGAAGCTGGTCACAGAATATTAGTTTCCAATAGATAGAAACTAATCAAGGAGAGAACCAACCTAGAACTAAGGAGAAGTTACAACTATTAATCAGGCTTGCCTCCAGAAGTTGTGGGTGCTCCAACAGTAGGGTTTTTAAAGAAGAGATTGGACAACCATTTGACTGAAATGGTATAGGGTTTCCTGCTTGAGCAGGGAGGGTTGGACTAGAAGACCTCCAAGGTCCCTTCCAAATCTGTTATTGTTCAACTCAATCATAGATAGCCGCTGCAGAAGCACCATGAAGACAAGGTAGCAGAACAAAAGCCTTAAAGAGCCAGTAAGCCATGACAGCTTTAGCAATTGGCAAAGACTTTTCTCTCCCATTCTGTTCACTTGGCCAGGCCAAAGGTACGGTATGTTCATTTCTCCTCCCCCCCCCCTCTTCTTCTTCCTTGATTCTTCTTTTTAAAGCAGCAATTCACTGGAAAGGGAGGAGGCCAGTTCCATGCATTTCATTTCTCAATCACCAACCCACTAATGTGGGAGTTAGTCTGCAGAAAAGAAACAAACAAACAAAAAAGTACAGGAAGGCTCTCCAGTTGCCAGGAAAGTGGTCCAGCCTTCCTCAACCTGAGAGGCTTCATATATTGTAACTTCTGACTTCCATCATCTCCATAGGAATAACATATGAAACACATCAAAAGAATATTGGGTTTTTCAACTCATGGAATTCTGGTGATGAAAATTAACTAAAAGAAGGACTGATCCATGTCCACGTTCTATTTCTTTCCCCAGTTACTTAGATCAGTGACGGGGAACCACTGTTAAAGCAATGGGGGTCAATCGCTAATTCAGAAGGGAAGGTTTGACTATTGAGTTAACTGCCCCACCATCTACCCTTGATTAGACAAGGACTGTGGTAAACATGATGTCAATTCCTAGAGAGCTGCATAATCTGAAAATTATTTCTCCAGCCTCAATCTTGTAACTTTCTCTTTCACAAACTTCATTAAAGCAAAAGCAGTAATAATATGCAAGCAAGTGGATTAGTTTTAATTTGTAAGCAATATACTGTATCTGTTTGTAAATGCCTATGGAGATTCTCAGTCATTCAGGTCATGGCTGTCCCAAAGGTGCTTTTCTTTTCTCCAAAAAATGCAATTGGACCTTCTTTGTTTTTCCTTGAAGACGTTTTGCTTCTCATCCAAGAAGCTTCTTCAGTTCTGACTGAAGGAAAAACAAAGAAAGTCCAGTTGCCTTTAAAAAAACAAAAAAAAAGCAGCTTTGGGATTTCTGTTTGTGTTTAAGACAGAAACTTTCAGACTGTTGTTCTCTCCACCTTATTGTAGAGGTGTCTGGTTTGGTGATTGGGGACATTATAGGTTCATTAAGCTGTATTTTGTTTTACTATGTTAGGGCTTACAATACAGGTTTTCTTACTTCCTAACTCAAATCTGGAAATAAATTGTGTTACTGATTTTCAGCAATTGTTCCCCTAAAATTTCGGTGTTGGGATAAAGGAGCCAAGAGGAAGGTTAGATCACGTTGGAATCACATGGGGGGTAGGGAGAGAAATAAAACAACCTCATTTACTGATTGTGTTGCTATAAAATACTTCATGTTGCAATTGAATTAATTCATTTTGATCAGTGGTTCTCAACTTTTTTAATGCCGCGACCCCCAACCGGTCGTAAGTCGAGGACTACTCAACCGGTTGTAAGTCAAGGACTACTCAACTGGTGCAGCAGCGTTTGCAGAATGGGACTTTTGGCGGGCTCAGCAGGGCAGAGACAGCCTGGACAATTCCTAGTGGCTTTTGAAAGCCAATAGAATTAGACTCTATTCAAGAGAGTCTATTCTATTGGCTTTCAAAAGCCAATAGAATAAAAGGGAGTAGCACAGCTAAGGAAAAGGGGGGGAAAATGGCGGACTGCAGTGTTTGGCGACCCCTGTGAAATGGTCGTTCGACCCCAAATGGGGTCCTGACCCACAGGTTGAGAACCACTGATTTTGATGGTTTGTGCATACACAGAAACAAACTCATAGAACAGGCTGAGTTTGCCCAACATTTTGTGTCCTCCTGCCAATTAACCAAAGTTTAAACCAAACTTAGCACGTTAATTAAACATTTTGTGTGAGCACAACCACAGATTCCCCCAGCAACTTCTCTGGAGCATCCCCCATTCATGTGCTATTTACCTTCATTGTGCGGTGGATCCACCCATGGAAATCGTTAACCTTGGTGTAGACACCAGGCTTATTGGCCAGGGCACAGCCTGTGCCCCAGCTGACAATGCCACACAGCCGCCAACGTGACACTTGTGAAATACTGTCTTCACACATAAAAGGGCCACCACTGTCACCCTGTCATGTGGAAGAAACCAAGGTTAAAACGAAAACCTGCATGTATGTATCATCTTCACTTCCATATTCGCTGCACGGCTATCCCAGAATTCAAAGGCCACATGGCCTGGATGTCTGGGGATGCTGGGAGTTTTAATCCATCACATCAAGTCAAGGAAAGCTATTATGCCGGACCGAAACAAGATCACAAAAGAGAGTTTAGGTTTTTAGGTTTAGAATATTACAAGTAGGCCTCAACTTATGACCATAAGCGTACCCATCATGGTTGTGTGTCATAAAAGATGTAAAATGACCTCTTTTGTGGCAGTCATTAAGTGAGCATCATGGTCATTAAGTGAACCAATTGCTTGCTATGGGTGTGGCTTTGCCATGGCTGGCTGGGGAGTTCTGGGAGTTGAAGTCCTCCCATCTTCAAGTAGCCAAAGTTGAGAAACCCGGTTCTACAGGGCACCAAATCCAATTCTAAGAGCTTAATGCAAAACTGGGTGAATGGATTCACTGTAACAGAGATTAGGTTGTTCACAGTGGGCAAAGAAAAGAATCCAAACCACCCTGTAGAATCCAAACCACCCTGTTTGGTCTTAATATTTTTTAACTGAATCCAACACAAGCTTAGTGTATTTTTCCTGGATTACTTCTTGCATCAAAGAAAATTGGCCACACGTTCCCCTCACTATGCTTGGCAGATCAGAAGTTCTCTTAATGCACCCCTTTTTGTATCTATCTACAATACCCAACTCCTTCTTCACCGTGCCAAACTGACCCTACCTGGCAAGCATCTGTGCCTCCAGCTGCAAAACCAGCACAGAACATCCTGGGCCTTATCTGACTGCCATAGTAATCGGGGCCATTGCAGACACTGGTGCTGATGATGGGGACACTGGCCTCTTGAAGGACATCAGACTGTTGGCCTACAAGGAGGGAGAAGTGAGAAGCTGCGTTTATAGAAGGCAGCCTGGGTGCTTCCATTAGCTCAGTACAGTTTTGCAGTGGTTGGCAAGTTCTCTCTTGATGCCAGGCTTCCCCCAGGCCCCAATGTAAACCTTCTTCAGCTACTTATCACCTTCTCTAGGAAGTATCTGAATATAACTCAGCAAGATTAGACTCTTTCTTGCAGAAAATAATAAAGCCACATAGGCAGAAAAGATAGACCACTGCAGTACTTAGAAATCAAACCCTTATATAAACCTACAGTTCTGGATTTAAAAGTTAGTCTTTTTCCTTCGTCCATGATCAGTAGACCCTTGCCCATTCTCTTAATAGCCTCGGGAGGGAGCTAATCTGCAGCGCATACTTGTTCTTTCTATTGTGGAAACCGCTGGCATCTACCTTATCCAGCTTTAATGGGTATAGGGCATGGGTAGGGAGTCCTTTCCCCTTCCTGAATTATGATTCAGAAGTGCTGGGCCACAAAGGATGCTGGCAGTTGTAGTTCATCAACATCTAGAGCAGCGGTTCTCAACCTTTGGGTCACGACTCCATTTGGGGTCGAACGACCATTTCACGGGGGTCGCCAAACACCGCAGTCCGCCATTTTTTCCCCCTTTTCCTTAGCTGTGCTACTCCCTTTTATTCTATTGGCTTTTGAAAGCCAATAGAATAGACTCTCTTGAATAGAGTCTAATTCTATTGGCTTTCAAAAGCCAATAGGAATTGTCCAGGCTGTCTCTGCCCTCCTGAGCCCGCCAAAAGTCCCATTCTGCAAACGGTGTTGCAAGTTGTCTGCAGCAAAGGCGAGCTGTCTGGAAGCTTTCACCCCTCCCTGCTGAGCAACTACTAAAAATGTAAGTAAAAGAAGGCCAGGGGTGGGAGGTGGGAGGCCGGCGGGCGCAGGGAGGGTTGCTGGCGTACGTGGGGCCCGACGGGTGCCTTACCTCCCTTGGGCTGGGCCAGCTGGTGGCCCAGCCAGTGGCCGCCCTGCGACATCGCTGCCCCTTGCCAGCTACGCCTTGGCCGGCGCAGGGGGAGGCACCACGCATGTGCGGCTCTCCCGGGCAGGGAAAGTTCTCGACTTATGACCGGTTGGGTAGTCCTCGATTATGACCGGTTGGGTAGTCCTCGACTTACGACCGGTTGGGGGTCGTGGCATTGAAAAGGTTGAGAACCACTGATCTAGAGAGTCAGAGGTTCTCTAAACAGGACCTCAGACTTGTTTTCAGATCCACTTAGTTGGACTTCGGATCTGAGATGTTCTATTAACAACCCACAGTCTTTCCAAAAGTTTTTTTTTTTTTTACATTTTCCTTAAGCAGAGAAGAAGGACCTCTGGACTAAAAGCCAAACATCTAGAGAAAAGAGTTATGTCTTCCTCTCCACTGAAAAGCAGCACGGGTAACCAGGCAGCTTTGATGAAGCCTCAAGTAAAGCAAGGATCTTCAGTTTCACTTTTTCCTGAGCTACTTTGGCTCCAACTTCAGAACAGAGACTGGCTCATTTCTCTTCCAATCCACTAAGGCCAATTTATGTGAGCTTATAGGGGGCCTACTGTTATTACACAAAGAGGTCTGCAAACTCCAGTATCTTCAAAGAGAAGCAAGAAGCAAAAACTGGAATCTCATTGTGTGTCCTAGGCGCAAGAATGTAATGATACATGATAAATGAATAGTATTATAAATTCTGTAGCCTATATAAAATGTTAGGGGAAGCAGGGAAAGAAAACATTTCTCTGCTAGTTTTATGGCAGTTGTGAGGCTTACATTCATGAGTAGATATAGGTCTATGCAGGGCAATTATAAATACTCTCTTTATTTTGTGTGTATTTTCTTCCTTTTGGCCAGGCCTGCCTGCCTGCATCCCTCCCTCCCCCTCCCTCCCTCCCTCTCCTTCCTTCCTTCCTTCCTTCCTTCCTTCCTTCCTTCCTTCCTTCCTTCCTTCCTTCCTTCCTTCCTTTCTTTCTTTCTTTCTTTCTTTCTTTCTTTCTTTCTTTCTTTCTTTCTCCTTGCTTCCTTTTCTTCCTTCCTTTCCTTTCCTTTCCCTTCCCCAAAATGCAGAACTTTTCAACTCAATTAAGCTCACACAACTTGACTGAAAACTCCAACGGTTCGGGGGACTTCCGGTGGTTAAGGCGGTGGAGATGGCGGCTACTTTGTAGCCGTCCTCCTGAGATGGTGTTAGATCCGCGGAGCACAGCGTTCATCAGCTGGCCCGCGGCTCGCAATCCTCTTCCCGGGCGAAGGGAAGGGGTAGAGATCGCATGAATAGAGGTAGAACCTCTTAACCTTCCCTGGATTTTTATTTTAGGGGGGTAGAAAGAGTGCTCCCTCGGAGTTCATTGCCTTCTCCGCCTCTCAGCTGTCTTTGTTTCTTCGGAAACAAAGCGAAACGCCGCTACCATCTCCGTATTTAAAGTAACCGTGAGTAATTTTAAACCGGACAGAACTGTTTAAAGGACTTTATTTATAGTTTAGCTTTATTTTATTTTTTTTTAGTTTACTTAGTTTATTTAGTATGTGCTGATTTTTTTTTATTTTTTGAGCTTTCTTTTTTTTCTCGCGGGCGGAAAAGTGAGAGTGAAAGTAAAATGGCGTTTTGAAAGTTTTTCTTTTGAAAGACGGACTGGCTGAATTATTGCTTAATACTGTTTTCTTTTTTAAGTTTATTTTATCTTCTGGGAGTTTTCTAAATTGATTCTATTTTATTCTATTTTATTTTTAATCTTTTGGATTTTTTATTTTTTACTGGTATTTTTATGAAGAAAGGAAGATAAATTAAAATGGCTTCAAAACGACAACCAGCTACTACAGCTCCTAAGGTAATCTCTTCTCCTGGTACTTCTACTGGGCAACAACAACTTAAAATAATACCCTCAGTGCAGCAACCTAAAACTACTCCACCTTCACCTCCCCCATCTGGTACATCAGCACAAGACATTAAAGAAATAATGGTAAATGCTGTGTCACAGTTTAGGGAGGAAATGAAGCAATTGTTGGAACAGAATAAATCTGAAAGTAAGGAAGAAATGAAGCAAGAGATGAAGGAACTTTTAGAACAGAATAATGCTATTTTGAGGGATGATATACTTTTAGCTTTATCTGGAGTGGCCTCAGTGGTCGTGAAGCTGGACTCTAGAGTGGAGGAAATTGAAGAAACAGTAGAACTTTTGGATTATAAATTCCAAGATATGGAGAAAAAAGTGGAAGCTTCACAAGATGATATTCTTATGTTCCAGTATAGACAGATGGAATATGCTTTGAGAATAAGAGGCCTGAAAGAAGATAAAACCAAGACTTGATGGAAATGGTGATTAATGACTTGGCTGTTATTTTGAACATAGATAAAGATGAGTTACGTGGGGAAGTGGAAAGAATTTATAGAGTTAATTCTTGGATTGCAAAACAGAAGAATCTGCCTAGAGATGTGGTGATATATTTTGCTAAGAAGTCTTTGCGAAACCAGATTTTGCAAATTTTCTACAACAAAAGATTCCAGATTGCTGCCCAAGATATTATTATATTAAAGGAAATTCCACCTAAAATTTTAAGAAGCAGAAAAGATTTTGCTTTTTTAGCAAATGAACTTAAAGCAAGACTGATGCCATTTAGATGGGAGATTCCGATGGGTATTGTCCTGAGCCATGCGGGGACACGTTACAGACTTAATACAGTTGCTAAAGCTAAGGATTTTTACAAAACGGTCCTGGGTGCAGGCTCACCTCTGCCCATGATGCACAAAGTCTTGAGTGATAAAGAGATGGAACAGAAACCTGAAGGTACAGGTGTGATGACTGCTGGACAGGTGGTATGGATGTCTCAAGCAGAGGTTAAAGAACAGAGAATGACCCGTGCAGCACATAAACGCAAAGAAAAAGAACAACAGAAAAAAGAAAAAGAAATTAAAGAATCTACTCAGCAAATTGTCTCAATGCCGGTGGGAGGAGCAAGACCCAAAAGCTCTGCAACATACTCTTCAGTAGCAGAATTTGAGGGGATCTTCTCCAGGCTCAAGGCCAAGGGAGATGGCAAAGCTCCTGACCTGGAATGTTAATGGATTAAATATTCCTCAAAAGAGAAAAAAAATCTACCATTATTTAAAGCAACATAACAATGATATTATCTGTTTGCAAGAAACTCATATTACATCTAAAGACCAAAAATACTTAAACAATCCTCGTTTGGGATCTCATTTTGTATCTCCCGCCCCTGGGAAAAAAGGGGGTGTGGTAATCTATGTTAAGAAGAATTTATCTGCTATCCTGTTAGAATCAGATCCTCATGGAAGATATGTTATGCTTGAACTTGGTTTATATGGCAAGAAAATTCTTATTGTGGGGCTGTATGCACCAAACCAGCAACAGGAGCAATTCTACAGGTTGTTACATCAGAAAATAACCTTGTTGGACTATAGATCTGTGATTTTAATGGGAGACTGGAATGGCGTCTTAGATATACAAAAGGATAAAAAAGGCTTTTCTACTTTTTTTAAACAGGCTAAGCTACCTAAAGCCTTCTTTGACATGAAAGAAGATTGGGAATTGAGAGACTATTGGCGTGAACGTAACCAGGAAGAAAGGGACTTTACTTTCTTCTCAGATAGACACCAATCTTTCTCAAGAATTGATTTTTTTTTTATTACAACAGATTTATACAACAGGGTGAAGAATGTAAAAATTTTTCCTAGGACATTGTCTGATCATAGTCCAGTTTGGATGGAACTGTTTGCTGAGAAAGAAGACAGGAGATCCTGGAGGGTGAATGAGAATTTATTTAAACAAGAAAAAAATGTTCCATAAACTAAAGGAATGTTTAAAGGAATATTTTGCTTTAAATATGAATAAGGGAACATCAATGTCAATGGTGTGGGATGCAAGTAAAGCTTTTATGCGTGGTATTTTGATAAAAATGAATAACTTGCATAGACAGAAACAGATTCAGAAACGTAAAGATTTAGAAGAGGAGATTAAATTAAAAGAGAAACTTCTAATTTTAAATCCTTTAGATGAAAAGGTGAAAGGAGCTATAAAACTGTTAAAAACACAATTTAACATGTTGATGGCTGATCAAGTTGCAACCAATTTACTATTTATGAAACAAAATACATTTTGTAATGCTAATAAACCAGGGAGATGGTTGGCTTATCAGTTAAGAAAGAAACAGAAACAGAGGAATATAGATAAAATAAATTATAATGGTAAATTGGTTTATCAGAAAGAATTGATTAAGAAATCTTTTTTAGAATACTACCAAAAATTATACAAGAGTACTAATATTCAAACTACAGATATAAACAATTATTTAGGTAAAGTTAATTTTCCTAAATTAACAGAAGATCAGGAAAAAGAGATTAATGGTTTAATTACTAAGGAAGAAATTGTTACAGCTATTAAACAATTGAAATTGGGCAAAGCGCCGGGTACGGATGGGTTGACATCTATTTATTATAAAACTCTAGTAGAAGAGATGACTCAACCGTTGTGTGAATTGTTTAATAACTTATTACAGGGGTTAGAGATCCCTCCATCTTGGCGTAATGCATTTATATCACTGATTCCAAAAGACAATCAAGATCTTACATTGCCTAAAAATTATAGGCCTATATCTCTTTTAAATGTGGATTATAAAATTTTTGCAAAAATTTTAGCTAATAGGTTTATGGGGATTTTGCAGCAGATTATACATAAGGATCAATCGGGTTTTATAACTGGAAGGTATATGAAAAATAATGTTAGACAAATTATTAATTTATTAGAGTATTTAGAAAAGAATAACCAAGTCTCTGCAGGCTTGATATTTTTGGATGCTGAAAAAGCCTTTGACCAAGTGAACTGGCAGTTTATGTTATGTTTAATTAAGGAGATGAATTTTGGACAAAATATATTACAAGTACTATCTAATATATATCAAAAACAGACTGCTCAACTTATTGTAAATGGGGGTTTGTCAGAGGCTTTTGTAATAGAAAAAGGTACAAGACAGGGATGCCCGTTATCCCCGTTATTGTTTGTTTTAACATTGGAAATATTGTTGATTAAAATTCGGGAGTCTCAAGAAATAAAAGGAATAGAAATTAATAAAAAAGAATATAAATTAAGAGCCTTTGCAGATGACTTGGTTGTTACTTTGTCTCAACCTATTTGTTCGGTGGTAAAATTATTACAATTGATCCAACAATATGGACGTGTTTCTGGTTTTAAAATTAATAATAATAAGACCAAAATATTAGCTAAAAATATGACTAATGGTGATAAACAGGTTCTAGTTAAGTTAACAGACTTTGAAATTGTTGATAAGGTAAAATATTTGGGGGTTACATTATCTGCTTCCAACGCAAAACTGTATAAAAATAATTATGAAAAGTTGTGGACGGAGATACAGAAGGATTTAAAAAATTGGAACAATTTACAGTTATCCCTTATGGGTAGAATTGCAGTTATTAAAATGAATGTCCTGCCAAAGTTTATTTTTCTGTTTCAAATGTTACCTATTTTAAAGAGTGATCGTAATTTAGATGAATGGCAAAAAGGTATTAATAAATTTGTTTGGGCAGGGAAAAAACCAAGGGTGAAACTTAAAATAATGCAGGATTTTCGTGAGAGAGGTGGACTCAAGGTACCAAATATGAAATTGTATTATGATGCTGTAGTACTAACATTGATCAGCGATTGGGTGAATTTAACAAATATAGAAATACTTCATTTGGAAGGTTGGGATTTACTTTTTGGATGGCATGCCTATTTAATATTTAATAAAAAAGTGGATTGGGTTTTTAAGTCTCATATTATAAGAATCTCTTTGCTTAGAGTGTGGAGGAAGTATTATAAATTTGATTTTAAAATACCATTATGGGCTATACCTCGGCATGCCATAGAAGGTATAAGGAAAGGGGTTAATATGGATATGGTTTCTTATGCACAGTTACTTAGATGGGATGGCCAAGACTGGCAGTTAAAATCTTTGGAAGAACTAATACATGAAAATCTAACTTATTCATGGTTCCAATATAGACAAATAGTGGACAGATGGAAGATGGATTGTAAAATGGGCTGGCTTAGAGAAGATGAAACTCTCCTAAAACAAGTAAGAGATCAAAGGCCAACCCATATTAAGAGAGTTTATGGGGTTTTAGTGGAATTGGATTCAGAATCTGAATTAGTTAAAGATTGTATGATTAAATGGGCACAGAATATTGGTGAATCGATTTCAATGGATACTTGGGAACTTATTTGGATAAGAAATGTTAAATTCACACAAGCGCAAAATTTAAGAGAGAATTTTTATAAGATGTTTTATAGATGGCACCTTGATCCAAAGAAAATGTCCATTATGTACTCTAATTTACAGCCGAAATGCTGGAGATGTGGACACTTGGATGCTACTTATTATCATATCTGGTGGACGTGTAAGCATATAAAAGCTTTTTGGATTAAGATATGGTGGAATATTCAGAGAATTTTTAGAAGGAGGGTAAAATTTACTCCGCAATTATTTTTATTAGGTATTGTTACTGATTGTGATGCTAGGGAGGTTATATTGATGCTAAATTTGATTACAGCCGCTAGGCTGTTAATAGGACAATATTGGAAGAAGGAATCCTTGCCTAATTTACAAGAGTGGTTTTATAAAGTTTCGTATTTGGCAGAAATGGCAAAGATTTCGGCTTTTTTAAAGGAGCAATCTCAAGAGAAATTTTTTGCGGTATGGGAAAAATGGATAAATTTTATGCAACATAATTTGGATATGGAAAAATATTATTTAGCCTTTTTATAATTTGTAATGATTGTTTTTTTTTCTTTCTTTCTTTCTTCTTCTGTATTATTATTTATATACTTTTCTATATATGTTTTATTTTTCGCCTATCTCTTTCTTTTTTCTTTCTCTCTCTCTTTTCTCTTTCCCTTTTTTCTTCTTCCTTTTTTTTAATATATATTATTTACTTTAAAGTTTATGTTACGTATATTATTATTATATATATTATTATTATGATTTTTATTATTATTATTAATTATCTTATAAATTGTATACGTTATTTTTTAAAATTTGTTCAATAATCCTATATTCAGTTCTGGGAAGTCAGGGGGGGGAGGGGCGGGTGGTTTGGGAGGGGGGGGTGGATGTTTATTTGTAAAATTTTTGAAAAAAATTAAAAAAAAAAAAAAAAAACCTCCAACGGTTCAAACATTACTGCCATCTCGTGGCAGCAAGAGGCCCTTACCATAGTATTGTGTGTTGCCCCATCCTGTCACAGTACAGATCTTGCCATCCACCAAAGTTTGCCCCAATGCTGGGAGGCAGATGGGCTGAATAATTTCTGTAAATAAAAAAAAACCAAAATGCATTGCTATCTCAGGAAGGATTCGTCTTCCCCTGGCTCATGGTCAGGAGTGGCAAGTCGCTTCTGTGAATAGTGTGCCAAAAATTTCTCCTGACTTTTTTTTTTTTTTTTTTAACCTGCTGGAAGAAAGAATTTGTGAATTGGAGAAATTGCTCAAAGGAAAAGTGACTTTCAATGCAATTCCCACTAGATGGTGCTGGTCTTCCACAACTTTAGGGAGAAAATGGCCATGGGGCAACCTGGACATCTCAGGCCATTTTTAAAATATATTTTTTTTATCCTGCCTTTATTATTTTATAAATAAGGCAGCAAATATACCTAATACTTCTTTCTTCTCCATTCATTCATATAAATGTGATGTTGCACACAAATAGAGGATGGGGAGACTTTGCATTGTGATGTCATGACCCAACAATTCCTGCCCCACAATATTCTCACCATTGAAGGAGAGTGGTGTGGCCAAGCGCAACAAGGCAATGTCATTGCTGTTCTCCTCACTATTGGGATCCACAAAGGGCCTGTACCCACCATGATACACAATGCCGGCCACATCCATCTGCAGCCCCCTAGTGGATTGTTGAGATATGGCACCCATGAACACTTGCCAGCGGCTCACCACACGATTCCTCCTGCAAAGCAGATTCCAAAGAGATCTAACAGGTTTACTTGAATTGATTAAAGATATAGTGGTTGCATTCACATCACAAGCTGAACTTGACTCGTGGTCATCTTGGTTACGGTTGGTATTTATTTATTTATTTTGGCATGGCTTGTCAAAGGCAGAAAATGGCTTTTATGGCCAAGCAGAGCACATAGTGCTAACCCTGCCCAGATGTATTATTTCATTTGCTTCAAAATGCAAAAATAACAGCCCTGTGGTGTTTGGGGGGGAGTGTCTCTTTTTCAGTAGCACTTTGATATTATGAGCAGCCTTGTGGCTAGATTTACACATTGCCCAAAATGTTCATTTATTCCATCGAAACCTAAGAAATAAGCCACAATTGTCTGAGTTCACAGTCTGCTTAGCTTGAACTAACCAACTGTATTTTGACTTAGGACCCCTTCCTAAGGTCACAATCTTAACAAGCTCAGGAATCTTCATGGCCTTAGAGCAGTGATGGTGAACCTTTTAGAGACTGAGTGCCCGAACTGCAACCCAAAACTCACTTATGCATTGTCGAGTGCCAGATGGGTGTGGCCCATTGGCTGGGGGTGGCCAATTGGGTGGTCGTGGCCCATTGGATGGTCATGGCTGTGGTGGTAACAGCAGACTGGGTGGGACTAAAAAGTTCAATCAATCAATTCCAACTTTGCAAGATTTTTTTTTCCCCGCGAGAAGTTGAAATTGACTGATTGAACTTTTTTTTTTTTTTTTGCACATGGTGGCGGAGGCCTAAAGTGAAAAGGTTTTATAAAACCCAGCTGAAGGCCTAGGACTGGGGAGACGGTGCGCATGCCCACAGAGAGGGCTCTGAGTGCCGCCTCTGGCACCCATGCCATAGGTTCGCCACCACTGCCTTACAGACCAGCGTAAATGCTTTTTGAGTAAAATCTACAATTAGCAATAAATCAGGGCGCCTTTTAGAGGGCTTCCTTGAATTCCCCAGCTGGCATGGCTGTGGGCTTAGAATTCTAGGGATTCTAAGCCCAGTGGAACATCTGGAGGGCACTTCTGAACTCTGAAACTGCTCATCAACAGTTGACATTCCTCCCTAGTGAGCACTCAGAAACATCTGGTCAACTCTTAAGAACAATCAATATTACAAATCTGGATCTCATTCTATGCACATATCTAGTCCGGGACTTACTCTGGAAAGCAATGAGCTGCTGTAACTACCCATTCCTTTGAGATGATGGAGCCGCCACAAAGATGTGTCCCATCGTAGCGTAGGCTGACTTGCCAGGGCCATTTACCCAAACTGGCATCTTGGCCACCTACAATCCGGTCTACGGATAACTTCCTACGTCCACAGTCTGCAAAGCATACCATAGTTAATATTCATTCTGATGCAACTTTGTATCCCACATACCTTCATGAATGAAATTCATGAGAACCAAGGATATCAGAATAACCCAGCTGGGCGCTTGTGACGAAACCAACAAGATCCAGAGGAGAATCTAGCTTTGAGCAAATCGGAAGACAGGAAAGTTGGATGTAGCATGTGAATAAGAGAAGATCTGAGGAAGATTTGGAGAAGGGTCAAGGTGAGAAAGAAAGGCATCGATTGGATAGGAAGGGGGCAGAGAAAGATGGCTAAAAATACCCTGGAAATAGTTTATGATTTCCATACCTTGACAGAGAGTTGCCAGGAACCGGCCTGTCAGACAATCACTGTGAGAAAGACAAGAAAACTCAAGTCTATGGAAGGAGAAGTAAGAGGTATTGTCAAGAAAAGTGTGAACTCCCAATTTTTGCAGTTTGAATTTTCTGTGGGACACAGAATATCACCAGTTTTGATTTTCTTAAATGATGATGGACTGACTACATTCAGTTCCCAGGGATCTTTCATTATAGACTTCAAGTTCACCAATTGGTCTCCCATGCAAAGACAAGATAATTTAGGAAAAGTAGCTACTATATATCACGTTACTTCTAAGCAAGTCCTGGACCAAAAATTATTCTCCATGCCTATGCGCCAAAACAACCTCGTGCTCTCAAGATGCTTTGAAATCTCACAATCCTTGGTCATATCCATCTTGATTCAAAACATGTGACATGCATCATGCTTTATTTCTGGGCTGATAAAGCAGGAAATGGGCAATAGGAACCAGCTATCGAGAGACCAGCTGTAATGGCAAGTAGGCAAGAATTTGGGAGAATGGGCGAAGAGACTCCACCAAGAGAATGGTTAGATATAAGACAGTAGAGCCCATAGGTGGATAATGGGTGAGGCAAGAGGCTTAGGAAAAAACATCTTTCTCTTTCTCAGGCTGTAAAGAAGACGGGGGGAGAATTGTACTTTCAGACTTGCAAAATTTGTCAACTTGGCTTTACAATAAAATGGATTGGCTCATCCGGTGGTGATCACTATCTGTTTACCTGGCAAGGGTGACATCATCTTTTCCCAATTACATCTATCCATCCCATCGGGGCCAACAAGGGGAGGGGGGATGTTGCAAGTCCTGTCCTCCAGGAAAGCCCATCGGATGGAACCCAGAACACATGCCTTTTCTGCTCTGATTCTCATCCTGTGGAATACCATCTCCCTGAGCCATTCACCCCAAGGGGAGGTTAGCCCCATCCTTCCTAACCTTCTAGAAAGCCCTTAAAAACATAACCTTTTGCAGGATCTCCTGGAGAGCCTCTGAGGTAGCTGTACAGTACTCTGTTTAGGTGACTTTTTCTCCCACAACCCTGGGTTAAATGTTTTATTTAAGTTTAATTATTGTAATTGGTTACATTGTTTTATTTGTTACTCTTGGCTATATGCAGCCTAATGAGATGGGCCGATATATAAATTTCCTAAATCAATCAATAAATGCATTCCTTAACTCAGAATTGATAATAAAAATAAAAATACCACCACTACTACTAATAATAATAATAATAACAATAATAATAAAGTTGGAAGGGACCTTGGAGCTCATCTAGTCCAACCCCCTGCTCAGGTGCTCAAGTTTCTGTCATTAGGAGTTGCTAGGTGTATTAGGCAGCATCAGTTCCCATCATTCTTGCCCTCTGGCCATGCTAGCTAGAAATACTCGGTGTTACCTTACATTCAAGGCTGGGAAGGTCTAAGTATTTAAGCCAAGGAAAGGTAGGAGGAAGCAAGTGGTCCTTACCACACCCCGATGGCCTCTCTAAGCTTTCTCACAAAAGGCAGGCGAGAGTCATCCACGCAGAAATAGCCTGATGTTCCGTTGGCACCTACAGTGTCTGCATCCAGGACTGAATGGGAGAGAGATCTGGAACAGAGAGACAAATCCCAACAAAATCAGCATCCAACCAATGACTTGGTAAGTTTTCATTAGAGCAGGGCTTTTCAACTAATGGTATGGGTACCACCTGTGGTACATTGGCACCTGGCAGGTGGTACGTGACCATCCTAGAAAAGTGGTAGTAGGGGAGGGGAGTGAGCTGAACCGATGGCAGCACCGCACAAGTCTGAGCGAGAGACGGCTGGAGCTGCAGGGCTGTCAGGGCTCAGCGGAAGTGCCAAGATCAGCACCCGGCTCCAGCTGGAGCTTGGCGCTGATCCTGGCGCTTCTGCTGAGCCCAGAAGAAGCGCCGATCAGCTGGAATGTTGCAGCCTCACCAGGGTCTTGTGATTTACATTCAGATGCTTACCAACTGATTCATATTTATGACGGTCACAGTGTCCCAAGGTCATGTGAAATGACCAAAACCTGCTGCAACCACCCAGCATACGGGGGGGAATAAAAACCAAACACCCCACCCCACCCCACCCCACCCCACCCCCGCTGCCAATCGTCAACAGAAATGCTCACAACAATGAAAACCTCGAACAGGAGGAAGAGCGCCGCCGGGCAGGCAGGCAGGTGTCTCGCTTGGCTGTGGCTTAGGGGGCACTTTTTTCAGTGCCATTTTAACTTTGAACAGTCATTAAGCAAATTGTTGTAAGTCGAGGACTACCAGTACATTATCACTTTACCCCTTTTTTTGGGGGGGGACATCAAGTTTTTGACACTTTGCTAGGTGATTGGTGGTACTCGGATATTGCCATATCCTAAAAGTGGTACAATAGGTGAAAAGGTTGAAAAGCCCTGCTAGAGTATGGCGTTTTCCATGCTTTGGGAAGCAGTAGCACTGAGCCCAAAGCAGCTGTTGCTTTGGGGAAATCTTTACTTAGGTGGTGTCTCCCCTAATTTCTGACCCACTATTCCTGGTGCATGTTTATGGGATTCCATCAAAAAGAGAGATGAATGTGTATGAGCGGGTGTTCTTTTTTTATTTTTGAGATAACAATCTGTTTCTATAGCACAGATCCAATTTTATTTAACAAATTGATAACAAGTAGATTCAGGTGCCACTGGACTCCACCTATTCTCTGGGGACAGTCTTACAATGGCATGAAAAGATCCGAGCATTACAGCTTAGGAGAGCTGGAATCACGCTGAACCAAGATGACCGAATCAACATGAGCAACTCTACAAGCCCAAGTTAACAAGACTGGTTGACTTATACCAGTCTATCTTTGCCTCTGCCTCTCACGTCCCCCTCTCAAAGCCCTCTAGACATTGTCATCACAGCCCAGGTTTCTGGTGTACCTGACAAATCCCATCTCCTCACAACTAAGAGCTGCCACCTGGGCATCAGATGAAGAAGAACAAAGGAGTCTCCACTTCCCTTCAGTCTCATCATACACGGTCAGGCGCAGGTCCTCGGTATTCACCTGAACTGAACAGAACAAAGGTAGTGATGATGATGATGATGATGATGATGATGATGATGATGATGATAGTAGTAGTAGTAGTAGTAAAGTTGGAAGGGACCTTGGAGGTCATCTAGTCCAACCCCCTGCTCAGGGAGGAAACCCTATACCATTTCGGACAAATGGCTATCCAGTCTCTTCTTAAAAACTTCCAGTGTTGGAGCATTCACCACTTCTGGAGGCAGGTTGTTCCACGGGTTAATTGTTCTAACTGTCAGGAAGTTTCTCCTTGGTTCTAGGTTGCTTCTCTCCTTGATTAGTTTCCACCCATTGCTTCTTGTCCTGCCTTCAGGTGTTTTGGAAAATAGCTTGACTCCCTCTTCTTTGTGGCAGCCCCTGACTGCTATCATGTCCCCCCTCGTCCTTCTCTTCGTTAAACTAGACATACCCAATTCCAGCAGCCTTTCCTTATATGCTTTAGCCTCCAGTCCCCTAATCATCTTTGTTGCTCTTCTCTGTACTCTTTCTAGAGTCTCAACATCTTTTTTACATCGTGGTGACCAAAACTGGATGCAGTATTCCAAGTGTGGCCTTACCAAGGCATTGTAAAGTGGTATTAACACTTCACGTGATCTTGATTCTATCTCTCTGTTAATGCATCCTAGCACTGTGCTGGCTTTTTTGGCAATTGCAGCACACTGCTGGCTCATATTTAGGTAATTGTCCACTAGGACTCTGAGATCCCTCTCACAGTTACTACTATTGAGCAAGGTACCCCCCCATACTATAACTGTACATTTGGTTTTTCTTGCCTAAATGTAGAACCTTACTTTTTTCACCAGGACCATCCCTGCCCCTTCCCCTTAGTTGCTCCCCGGTAGGCTGGCTGATCCCATCTGTTGCTGAGCTACCATATTTGACAACTGCTTTTTAATCAGGACTGGGTGGGAATTGGAGAAGCTGCCTTCCCACCATTCCTGAAGACATCAGACTGGAAAAGGTGAGGCCACGTCACAGGTGGTGGGAGAGCTCACAGCCCTTTGACACATACTCACCCGCATATAAGCTTTCCTTTTCACTCCCAAGCACAGACACCACTGTAGTGGGAGATAATAAGATTGATTAGAACATTGGTCAGCAGGAAGACAAGGACAAGAGAAGCAAAATCCATATTCTACAGACGTTAATGCTTGCTCTTCACAATGGAAATAGGGTGGGTAGACTGAGAGAGAGTGACTGGCTCAAAGTCATCCATCCAGCTTTCATGCCTAAGGCAGGACTAGAACTCACTGTCTCCTAGTGATTGACCTAAAGCCCAGCTTTCATGCTTAAGGTGGGACTAGAACTGACAGTCAACTGATGATTGGCCCAATGTCACCCACTTAGCTTTCTTGCCTAAGGTGGGACTAGAACTCACTGTCTCCTGGTGCTTGGCCCAAAATCACCCAGCCAGCTTTCATGCTTTACTAGCCTATTGTTGTATGCACTTCCATGCCTATCCCCATTCCTGCCAAGCCACAGCTGAGAATTACTGGTTTTATTGTACATCACACACAACCCCAATTTCTTGACTGGGGCCCAGCCAGTGTTTGGTGTAAGATGGAGCAATATATAAATGTTTTAAATAAATAAATCATCTCTGACTCACAAGGGCTCTTACCTATTGCCCAAATCCCAGCTCCGATTCCAGCCAACAGCAGGAAGGTGCTGACTCCCACTGCCATGGCTTTAGGCAGAGTCCAGCTGCATGCTTTAAGTTCTTCTGAAAGGCAGAGAGATCATCAGACAGCAAAGCTCAGAGTTGTGCCCATCAGGCAGAAGCAGGTGTTGAAAAACAACTCCCAGATGCCATTAATAATAGAGCAAAAGTTTTCCCAAAAATAAGGAGAAGAAAGGGAGAAACAGAGCGATCATCCAAGAGGACCAGGACCGGCCTTTGTACATAATGCCAACCTAGGATGTTTGTCACCATCCTAATATGAAGGCCATGAGGATGGGTATACAGTGGTACCTCGGTACTCATCGTTAATTAGTTCCAGCAGGCACGATGAGTACCAAAAATGATGAATATCTAACAAATTTTTCCCATAAGGAATAATGTAGTGAGTTACAAGGCAGCCGACACCGACAAGTTGAGTACCAAACAAACGATGAATAAGGAACAAAATGTTCACATCAGAATGCATTCAGTACCAAATTCAATGAGTTTCAAAGCAGTTGAGTACCAAGGTACCACTGTATATTTCACGCTAAGCCAAAGCCAACAAGCTATATGGCATGGTTTTGTATGTGTGAACCAGGTCTATACTATACAGTATTATTACAATAATTCATTTTCTAGATATTCTTCAGAAATTCCACCTTTGAACCTAAAGCAAAAACAAGGGGGGGAAGCTTATTATTATAATTATCAGATTAGAGAGAAGGTGACAGAGGTCTCCCTTCTGAGCAGACAGCTTTGCATTCTCCTGAATGCTGGAAAATGTTCATCTTTAAGTCCAAGAAAGATGGCGGGAGGGTTGAGGATTTAGAGGAGGAAAGTAAGATTTGGGGGGTTTCCTTCCCTTCTCTTTTTCTACAGTTCAACTCACCATCTTTTTTCGCCATTTCAAAAGCAATCAATCATCAAAGCTGCTCGGCTGTCTGCTTGGAAATCAAGCTCTTCAGGCCCAGGGGCCTTTGGCTCCAATCCCAAGTCCTAAGATCAGAAAGGAAGAACAATAGCAATAGGGCTTAGACTTACATACCTGTCTAAGTGGTTTACAGAGTCAGCTTATTGCCCCAACAATCTGGGCTCTTATTTTACCAACCTTGGAAGGATGGAAGGTTGAGTCAACCTTGCCCAAGACTGAACACCTGGCAATGAGCAGAGTTTGCCTGCAATACTGCATTTTAACCACTGCACCACCACAGCTCATGTTACAATTTTTTTTTTTCTTAGCACTTGGCAGAGCAGACCAGCGCAGCTCAGAAGTTGATCTGTGTTCCTCTTAGAGCTCACAAAATTCTACCTGGAATTTCCTGCTAGCGTTGAAGCATTATTTAGCTTCTACTTTTATAGTTATTTTGTTGTTATTCAGTCTCTAAGTCGTGCCCAACTCTTATGACTCCATGGGCCATAGCATGCCAGGCTCCCCTGGCCTCCACAATCTCCCAGAGTTTGCTCAAATTCATGTTCATATTTAGCGATATAATAATAATAATAATAATAATAATAATAATAATAATAATAATAATAATAATAATAATGATAATGATGATAATAAAGTTAGAAGGGACCTTAGAGGTCATTGAGTCCAATTCCTGCTCAGGCAGGAAATCCTACACCATTTCGGACAAATGGCTGTCCAGTTTCTTCTTAAAAACTTCCAGTGTTGGAGCATTCACCGCTTCTGGAGGCAGGTTGTTCCACTGGTTAATTGTTCTAACTGTCAAGAAGTTTCTCCTTAGTTCTAGGTTGCTTCTCTCCTTGATTAGTTTCCATCCATTGCTTCTTGTCCTGCCTTCAGGTGCTTTGGAAAATAGCTTGACTCCCTCTTCTTTATGGCAGCCCCTGAGATATTGGAACACTGCTATCATGTCCCCCCTTGTCCTTCTCTTCGTTAAACTAGACATACCCAATTCCAGCAACCGTTCCTTATATGTTTTAGCCTCCACTCCCCTAATCATCTTTGTTGCTCTTCTCTGTACTCTTTCTAGAGTCTCAGCATCTGGATGCAGTATTCCAAGTGTAGCCTTACCAAGGCATTGTAAAGTGGTATTAATACTTCATGTGATCTTGATTCTATCCCTCTGTTAATGCATCCTAGCACTGTGTTGGCTTTTTTGGCAGCTGCAGCACACTGCTGGCTCATATTTAGGTAATTGTCCACTAGGACTCTGAGATCCCTCTCACAGTTACTACTATTGAGCAAGGTACCCCCCCCCCCATACTATACCTGTACATTTGGTTTTTCTTGCCTAAATGTAGAACCTTACTTTTTTCACCGTTGAATTTCATTTTGTTAGATTTCATTGGGTGAATTTCTGAGGAAGAGAAATGTACAACTATCCTTGAAGTCTGAAATCTGGCCTGCTTTGGGATTCATTCATTCATTCATTCATTCATTCATTCATTCATTCATTCATTCATTCATTCACCAAGGAATAGTTTGGCCTTCCAGGTTTCCATTGAAGCCTAAAAAACGTCAGGCTGGCTCAGTTATTGTCAGAGGGGTGATCTGCTTGCGCAAAGATCAACACCTTCTTCCATATCATTTTTGAACATGTGCGGTCCTAATGACAGGAAACTAAAACCTGGCTTGCCTTGAGCATCCTAGATTAATCTAGCAAAACACATTACTGCTCTGTGGCCAAAGTAACCCCACTTAGGCACAAGAAGAAGCGGTCAGCAAGCTTGAAGGACTCTCCAGATTTGCAGACAAATCACGGTGCTTATTCTCATTCTCTCCCACACATACAATATACACAAGACCGGAAAGCACAGTTAAGGGGGAATGGAATTTCCCGGAACACAGCTTGTCTCACTTCAGCTCTGGATTAACCATTAAGCAAAATAAGCACAGGCGCCAAGGGAAGGGGGGAAGGAAACACCACAGTTTTTCCCCTCTTACCTACTGTATCCTTAACTCTTCCACTGCCGTAATTGAGTTTAATCAAATGTTTTGATTACGGTAGTTGTCCTTATCCGCTGCGCTTGACTTTAATCTGCATTGTTTAATGAATGATTGAAGTTTGGGTTGCGGACATCATGAGGTCACATATATGTTTCCATCTCATGGCAATTTCACTTCCGTTCTTGAGCTGTGCTTAGGGCAGGGGTCTTCAAACCTGGCCCTTTTATGACTTGTGGACTTCAACTCCCAGAATTCCTCAGCCTGGCTAGGGCATCAGTCTGGCTATGGAACTTTATTTACAAACACTCCATATTGCAGCATGGCTATACATTCCATTTGCATGATGCACATTTTCTCCCAATGTGTACAGGTAGTCCTCAATTTACAACCGTAACCGAGCCTGCAATTTTGGTCATAAGGCATGATGGTTGTTAAGCAGGCCATCACATGACCATGCCTGCTTAACAACCATCACGACTTATGACTGAAATTGCAGACTCAAATTGCATCTCCTTTTGTGGCACTTAAGAAATGCAGCAATCACATGCACATGCCACATTATAGATATGGGGCATTATTTAATTATTTGTATCCCGCCTTTATTATATTTTATAAATAACTCGAGGCAAACGTATCCAACATGCCTCCCTCCTCCTATTTTCCCCACAACCACAACCCTGTGAGGTGGGTTGGGCTGAGAGAGAGGAACTGGCCCAGGATCCCCCAGCCGGCTTTCATGTCCAAGGTGTAACTTGAACTCACCATCAATTCTTCCTCCATACAATTTAAGATGGACTTAAAAATGGCTGGTTTTTAATTGTTATTGATAGCTTGGTTTGCCTATTCATGATTCCAATAGGCCACAGTGTGGCTTTGCTTGCTTTTGATTAAAATAAGGGAATCAGGCTTCACAGTTTAGAAAGCAAAGTTTGCAGTTTAGCACGTTGTGAATAATTGAATAAATCGTAGCTCAACAATTTGGAGTTTAATCAGTGTGCGGATCAGAATGGGGCCTCTATCGTTGCAGCATGTATCCTGTTTCATCTTATGTGCCATTGTGAGAAACAAACGGCAGAACAATATGGCCCCTGGCTTGATCCCACTCAGTTCCTCTTACCTGTTTAACTTGTTAGGGAAACATGCCCATTTTTGTCACCTTTCGCTCAATCAAACGAGACACTTTTCAAACAAAGATGCCAAATTTTAAAGGGCAGTTCAATTGCCCAGCCAACAACAGCTGGAAAAGTAGTTCTCCTCTCTAAACCTTTATCCTAAAATATGTCCGTGGTTCTGTTCATGCAACCCTTGCATAAAATGCTAAGACTGCTGAGTTTGCATTGGGGGTAAGGGTGCTGCCGTTGCGTTAACGACTCAGCATTTTGTGGGATCCCAACCCCTTTTGGGTTCTTTTGTTCAGTGCATGATGTAAAACTAGATTCCCCAAATCAAGGAACTGATGTGAACCCACCCAGAATGTCTGGCACAATATCGTACTTGAGCAAAAAGATTGTATATCAGAGAACATATAACAATCTCTGCTAGTGAAAGCTGTTTTACTGGGTAGAACAGACATAGTTGTATATTAAAATTCTTTTCAGAAAAATATCCAAAAGGAAAGAAGACATTAAGATTAGAAATGCCATTATCCACCCCTGCCTTAGCTACATTCATAGAATACTCTGGAGTAGTGACTGAAGGGAATCAGAGCAAACAGCGTATCATTTGGTGAAAAGGTGAAGTTTAAAATAGGATGAATCATTTATTGCTATGGACTCAGATCATCTTTCCAAAATGTTTGAGAATCCTCCTTAGCCCCAGGTATTTAAATTACAAAATTACCAAGCTCACTGTCTGCAGAGTCTAAAATGCCACACAAACACACAAACCAATGGCACTAGTCTGATATAGTATAGGGTCTCCTCCTTGAGCAGGGGGTTGGACTAGAAGACCTCCAAGGTCCCTTCCAACTCTGTATTCTGTCCTTATGCTCAGAGAACCCAGACATTGTTTAAGCAAGCAGAGTGAACCAGGATATTCTATTAAACTATAGTGTAGTTTACTTGTTTGAACATAGCTTGATAAATGAATGCAGCATTTGTACTTTGATCACTTGGGTTTCAGGTTTAGGGTGCTATCAGAACTGACCCAACATCAGATAATCCTGCTAGGAACCACCTGCAGAATAAGGGGCACCGCAGAAGGGATTTTGCCCATCCCTTCTGGAGTCAAATTTTGGTCATCACCAAGGTAGGGCTATTAAATATAGATGGTCACTAGAGGGTAGCAAAGAGCTAGGGTTTTCTGTGGCTCTTGGTGACCACTTAGAGGCCCCATGAAATATTACAACTCATATAGAGTGCCTCTGACTAAAGCAGTGGTTCTCAACCTGTGGGTCGGGACCCCATTTGGGGTCGAACGACCATTTCATGGGGGTCACCAAACAACGCAGTCCACCATTTTTTTCCCCTTTTCCTTAGCTGTGCTACTCCCTTTTATTCTATTGGCTTTTGAAGTCAATAGAATAGACTCTCTTGAATAGAGTCTAATTCTATTGGCTTTCAAAAGCCAATAGGAATTGTCCAGGCTGTCTCTGCCCTGCTGAGCCCACCAAAAGTCTCATTCTGCAAACGGTGCTGTACCAGTTGAGTAGTCCTCGACTTACGACCGGTTGGGGGTCGCGGCATTAAAAAGGTTGAGAACCACCGGACTAAAGACTAGATATGAATGGCTTTTGGGATCTAGGCAAAAGGCTTATTGAACTAACCAGTTAAGCGTGAATTAATTTAGAAAGCCACAAGCAATATTTATTCTAGTGGCATTACAATGACATGGACAAATCAATGCCATGGAATCTAATAGTTACTTTATCGTGATGAAATAACTATGGATACTTATCAGGAGATAAACTTGCTCTGAATTCTCCCCCTACACAAGCACCACATACAGAGACATTTAAACATTTAGATAGTTCTCATTTGGGTCCGATTACACCAAATCAGTTTTGAGTGACCTGCCTCGCCTTATAAAGAAACATTTGGCTCTAATGAAATACAGCAAAGGTTAACTGAGGTGTAACAGAACAGCCAAGGGTTAATCCAGCTTTGGGACAAGCAAACAACTGGACTGTTAATGGAACAAACTGATTCTCTTGCCTATCTGAGGAAAGCGGCTGAGTTTCAGGAAAGTTGACCAATAACAGATCAGTGAGCCAGCTGTTTTTAACGTAGTTCATTTCTGATGAGATTTGGTGTGGTGGGACACCTTGGCTACTTTGTCTATCGTTCAGTGATGGAAAAAGGGTTAATTCAGAAAATTAATTCAAAAATTAAATAACTTTTAAAAGTGTTAGAAGTATCTATAAGCCTTGGTGGCTTTATTTCTGACCCTAAGGTGGGGTGTAGAAAAAGTAGCTGGCAACTTGTTCCCACAAATTAACTAATTAAGAGAGAGGGGGACAGGGGAAAGAGAGGGAGGGAGGGGAGGAGAGAGGGAGGGAGAGAGAGAGAGAGAGAGAGAGAGAGAGAGAGAGAGAGAGAGAGAGAGAGAGAGAGAGAGAGAGAGAGAGAGAGAGAGAGAGAGGGAGAGAGAGAGGGAGAGAGAATGAGAATTTGTGACTCTGGGCAACTGCCTGGACAAGTCCATGCAGTTTTCTTGCGAAGATGTTTCAGAAGTGGTTTGCCATTACCTCTTTCCTAGGGCTGAGAGAGAGTGACTGGCCCAAGGCTACTCCAGCTGGCTTTGTGCCTATGGCAGAAGTAGAGTTCAGAGTCTCCTGGTTCCTAGCTTGATACCTTAACCACTGCATCAAACTGGGTCTCTGAGATCCATTTACCAATGTTGTACAAAGCTGTAAGAGCAATTCTTACATATGAATATGAAACGTGTGACAGCAAATCTGATCATTCCAAAGACAGACAGACAGACAGACTGACAGACTTTGGTTATCAAGACAGGGCAAAATTTGCTTTCCAAAAAACCGGGTTTTCGGGAGAAGGGAGGCTGCAGCCCCAACTGCCGGGCGATTTAGGACCCTCACCTCGCTCTCCACCGCCTCAATCACTGCGGGGCAAATCCGCCCAGCCGAGGGGAACTCGCCTTCTTCCAGCCCAGGGAGGCGCGCTCTTCATCGCCGGGACCGGAGGCGCTGCTGGCTGAGAGGCGCTTCTTGCCTTGATCCTCCTGGGCCGATCGCAAAGGCTGCAGGAGAGCCGGGAGATCGCAGAAGCGGCGACCGGGCAGGTACCTGTGGAGAGAGAGCCAGAGGAGCGGAGAAGGGATCAACGCGAAAGGGGAGCAAGCGGGCGGGCGGGGCTAGGCGGCGGTGGGCGGGGCTTTGGCTTTTTTCAATATTCCCTCTCTAAAGCGAAGGGCGAGCAAGCGGGGCTGGGGGGAGGCAAGGCGACGCCCAATCCCCGAGGTTGCGTGTCCAGCTGGAACGTCGGGACTTGATCCCAAATGGGAAAACTCCAAGGCTCGGATCCTGGCCTTTCCTTGGCAGATGGAGAGAGATTTTGGTTGGTTGGTTTGGTGGTTTGTAGGGTTCCTAAATTAGGGAGCCAATGCGCATCTCAGCCGAGCAGCGCGGGAAGAGCTTGCAAGCAAAGCCGTTCGGATCAGCAGCGGCGCTACGTCTGACACCTTCCAGGCGGAGCCGGACCTCGGAGTGGCAGCGAGTTCCGCTGGCCAAGTTAGGGGGCAGCAATGAGAGGGTGCCAGCGGGCCGGGGAGCCTGGATTTGGGATCCGAATGCTTCGGGGCGTGGGGCCCCTTCCCCAGCCCGGCAAGGCACCTCTCAGGGATCTCGCCTGTCAAACACAGCCACCCGCGAGAGGGCTGAGGAGCCACCGCCGCCGTCTGGAAGCGCGCCTTCTTCGAGACGCGTCGCTTGGCGAGGAAAGGGCCGGAGCAGCTCCATCTCTTCCGCCGCCCCCCCCCCACTCAGCCCCACTGCTTTCTGAAAGAGCCCATTGTCTGGCCCACCTGAGGACGCATCTAGGAGCCAAGAAACTTGCACCAGCGAAAGAGGAGGGGCTGATCGCAGCGCTGCACACTCACGCACGCACAAACAGAGGGGGAGGGGGAGAGAGGGAGAAGGAAAGAGAGAGAGACTGACTCCTACCTGTTTTTAACCCCCCCCCCCCCAAACAAGCTGCGGTTCCCCCTCCAAGCAGGACATACATTCAGGTTTCTTCCCAGCAGGCGAGGAGTCTGCTTGGAGTTTTCATCTCCTTTATGAATAAGCTCATGTACAGAAGTAATTGAGTCGTCTTTTCCCAAGATAGTGGGGTTTCCTGCAGGGGGGGACTTTCTGGTCTACCCTACCCTCCTGGGATTTCTTCGTGGTGTCCCATCCTGCTTAGTGAGGATCCTCCCCGACTGGCAGCAGAACTGCTTGACCACGAAACCAGACTGGGTATGATTAAATAAAAGAGGCATTAACTCTCATGCAGATTGGAATCAAATAAAATATTCAGCCACTGTTTGTACTGAACTAAAAAAACACTGCAGATTTTTTGAAAATGCTACAAAGATAAGAGTCAGAGCACTCTGAGAAAGATGAGAGCTATGCCAGAGGTTCAACCATACTGGACAGGTCCCATCAGAGGAGTCAGACAAAGAGTGTCTCTCCCATAAAAAATATGGTGAGACGTAAATTTCAGAATGCCATACCTGCTCAGATGTCGCCCGGGTTAACAAGGTCCGCGCTAGATATTGGAGTTCCTGGATATCTGGTGAAAAATGGGTTACAGGACTCAGGACTGTTGACTGAGCAACCAGGGCCAGCAGCTGCAGAACTACTGGAAGAAAAGGTGTTTACCCATCGCAGATACACAAGTACATCAGATGGTTGAAGAAGAAAAAATGGCTTTGGAAGAATATCTGAAGAACAATGATGAAGATGCACTGAAATTAGTATATCAGGAAGGCTTACTAACTACTGGAGAGACCAAACTGACCTACAAGAAAGACCAAATAAAGAACAGAATAGAGGCATGGGAAGACAAAGCACTACATGGCCAATACGTTAAAAAAATAGCTGGGAAAGCAGATGATAACAAGACCTGGCAATGGCTAAGAGCAGGAAAATTGAAGAAAGAGACCGAGGGACTAATTCTGGCTGCACAAGACCAAGCCTTAAGGACAAATGCATATAAAGTCAAAATTGAGAAGACAGCAACAGACAGTAAGTGCCGCCTATGCAAAGAAGATGAAGAAACAGTGGACCACCTGGTAAGCTGTTGCAAGAAGATTGCACAGACTGACTACAAGCAGCGGCATGACAAAGTAGCAACAATGGTGCATTGGAAGATCTGCAAAAAATATCATTTGCCTGTAAGCAAAAACTGGTGGGATCATAAAATAGAGACAGTCATAGAAAATGATAAAATTAAACTGCTCTGGGACTTCAGAATTCAAACAGACAAGCACTTGCAACATAACACCCCAGACTTAACAATTGTCAATAAGAAAGACAAAAAAGTGTGGATAGTGGACATGGCAGTGCCTGGAGACAGCAGAATAAATGAGAAAGAACTGGAGAAGATAACAAAATATAAAGACCTACAAATAGAAATAGAAAGATTGTGGCAAAAGCAAGCAAGGGTAGTACCAATAGTGATAGGCTCCTTGGGTGCAATCCCAAAACAACTGGAGCACCACTTGAACATCATTGGCATTGACAAATTCGCTATTAGTCAATTGAAAAAGGCGGCCCTACTAGGAACTACTTCCATCCTGCGACAATATCTGTAATACCATCAAACATCCACATCTGCCTATCCCAGGTCCTGGGTAAGGACTCAATAGGTAGACAAAATGCCAAATCCAGTCTGAACATCTGGCTGACTGTGCGATGATCCATACTAATAATAATAAACAACACTGTGTATGAAAGGGAGGAGAGGGGAAAGGGAAGGGAAGGAAAGGAAGATTAGCTGAGTTTGGACAGGACCGCAAACTATCCAATTGTTTTTTTAGGATGTCGCAGGAAGTAGGTTGACTCAATGATCAAGTTAAGCAGTTCTGTAAATGATGCCATCACAGCATAGTCATGCCAGTTCACTTTGTACTATGACCTAAGCTCCCAGACCCATAGTAAGTTAAATACTAACCTAGCTTAATGTGTGGTGTAAACACAGCTGAATGAACCTGCTTAAACCTGCCATGTGAACACCATAGAATTGTCCTGCAAATCCAGAAAATCAGATTAACTGAGTGAAACGTGGTTCAGCTACTCAAAGGTGAGCACATCAGGGAAGCCCATTGATTTCTCTTGGGTCTGTGAGATTTTCCACACTAGAGAATCCAGAAGGCCTTTCGCCAGTGGTGGGATATGGAGCATTCAGGAGACATTTCACCAAAGTAAATGAACCATTTGTAGCAGGAATGGGGGAAAGGGGAGGGGAGAGGTCCGTGGATGACTCACTGCTGCAAAAACAGGTGCGGGCTCAGCAAAAGTGCTTCAAAGGTAAAGGGGAAGAAGAGATTCTAATGTTCGGTTACTAATTACCTGGGCAACCAGCCTGGGCTGCTATTGGAAGCTGGCCCAGGGGATGGGAGAAAGCAAGTTCAATCAGGGAAAGCCAAGAAAACAGCAGCAACCCTGAACTTGCCCCTTGCATAGAGTAAGAACATCTGAGCCAAACATAGGGTATCTCCCATCCCCTGCTTCAATTTTCAACTTATATATTGGAGCAGCATTTGAAGTTTTCACCAGGGAAAATAGATCAGGAAATCACTGGCTTTTGAGGGTTTGAGGTCCATAAAAGACCAGTTAGCACTAGTTGTTTTTATTGATTGGAACATTCTTTTCTGTGCAAAGAAACGGAGAACTAGGGCAAAATGAAGCCTATTATCAGTATGAATCCAGAAAATGCCAGTTCCCAAATATCAGTTCACAGGGCAAAAACCAGCCTTCCTGGACTCAGTATTGGAGGCAGTTTAACTGTTTTCATTGTATTTTGACAGTGTTCTCATTTTAATGCTGTGTGTCACCCAGAGCCACCTACGCGAGGTGAGCATCTGTATAAATGTAATAAGCAAATAATCCCTGCTGTTTTCTTGATGTTTGGAACTGTTTCTTTTTAGCTGAGCCATTCTTCTGAGTCGGAAAGTAAAAAATACAGCATACTATTCATGGAATGAAACTGGAATATTTGCCATCAGTTGAAAAAGCAAAGCAAAGCTGAGTCCCAAATGGTGCCAGAGGAAAAAAAAGCAACTGAGAATAAGGAATGGCACTCCCAAGCAAAAGGCAGGTTGCATACGGCATGTCAGTGCTGCTAACATTGGATGTTCTTGCTTTGACAACATATGGAGATGCAGTCTTATTCTTTCTTATGCTTTACTCTTAGAATTAGATGATACTGGGGATGGAGGAGAAATGTGATGGGAGTTAGTTAGACATAACAATATTGTAATAGTGTGTGAATTCAGTGCTTTTGAAATAAGAAATGGCCGGGTTGAAGAATTGGAGGGAAAGCCGGCATTTCAAACTAATTGGAGAATGTGATTTATGACAGTTAATTAGAGGAGGGAATTGTGCTTTGATACTATGTGCTCAGGGGAGGGGAATTCAAATTTTGGCTTCAACTATGTTAGTGCCAAAGCTATGCTACTCCAATAAAGATTTTTTAAGGTAAGCAATACCTCGAAGTTCTTTGAAGAGTTTCATCTGTCGGAACCATGACATCCATTCTCAAGAAAAGAAAGTAATTGGGCATTATTGGTGTACATGAATAAAGTAGCATATGACTCACTGGGCTAAACTAAAAAGGGGTTAATACTGTAGCTATTGGATTCTGGATGATCAGCTTGTTGTCTTCTATAGCTTACCAAATTGCTTCTTTTACTCTCTGTGACTGTAAGAAGCAGAGTTCAGCAGCCTCTGAAGGAGCATGGATCCCCCACCCTGATTGTCCTATGGTTGTGCCACATCAACTCTTCAGATGCACAGATCTCCACCCTGGAGCATACTGGTAGAAAATGCACCTCCTGAGGGGAACAGCTGTGTATACCAAAAGTGTGCATGTTTTATTTCCAATGGAGTGTGTGCGAATGCCTGACTTTGCTTGCCCCCTCTGTGTACATAAAAAAAGGACTCTGGGTCTTAGACTTTGGAGGGCACACCTGTCCTTATGGGCACACCTGGTCATAATGGGAAAGGGCATCACTGTGGCATAATGAGAGATAAGCAAATGGTGACCTTTCTGGGCCAGGTCTCCAGAGCCACAGCCACCCAAGGTGATGCTGTTTCTATTAGTTCTGAAGCCTCTGGTGGGGGTAAGTCAGCTCTAGCTCTGTGACTTGAAGAAGAGGAGATGTTTTGGAAAGCAGGGTTGGTGTTTTGATGAGCCCTTTTTATCAGGGCAGAGGAGACAGAGAACAATTCTGGATTCTAATAGTGTTGCTGGGGTGAACATATGGTAGACTTACAAATCTAGAGCAACAAAGATGATTAAGAGACTGGAGGCTAAAACATATGAAGAATGGTTACAGGAACTGGGCACGGCTAGTCTAGTGGAGAAGGACCAGGGATGACATGATAGTAGTGTTCCAGTATTTGAGGAAATGCCACAGAGAGGAAGGAGTCAACCTGTTTTCCAAAGCACCAGACAAGGAACAATGGATGGAAACTGAGCCAACCTAGAAATAAGAAGAAATTTTCTGACAGTGAGAACAATCAGCCAGTGGAACAGTTTGCCTTTGGATATTGTGGGTGCTTCACACTGGAAGCTTTCAAGAAGAGACAGGACAGCCATCTCTCAGAAATGGTATAGGGTCTCCTGCTTAAGCAGAGGTTGGACTAGATGACCTATAAGATCCCTTCCAACTCTGTTATTCTATTCTATTCTATTCTATTCTATTCTATTCTATTCTATTCTATTCTATTCTATTCTATTCTACTCTACTTCCCTTTCCCCTTCCCTCCCCCTCCGCCTTTTCCTCCTCCTCCTCTTCACAAACACCACTCCCTTCTAGCATTGATGAGGTTCCCTAGTTGGATCATGAAACATGTGCAATAAAACAGCCAATGCTCAGAGAGCACCAAGGACCCCATAATCCTTGGCCTCTTCCTCCTCCTCCTCCTCCTCCTCCTCCTCCTTTTTCATGGAGGTGGAGCATGTGTGTGGTGACATCATCACATGAATACCATGACTTAATACTGATGTGAGTTTTGGCGACACAATGATGTAAGAGTAGTATTAACATGATAATGTGTGTGTGTCATGTGTCATTGGCATCATTTGTTACAACCCTTCTGGGTGTGAACTGGACTTATGTCCTAAAATTGAATTCTGTAGACTTGGGCATTAACATATTTAAAGTTTGAAAAGTCTCTTAGCATTGTAATGATCTGAAGGGTTCATATTGTCTCGTTTCAGTGACCAGATGCAACCTTAAAGGTCCAAACATATTCAGAGCTGGTCATCATATCTTGCAATAAAGAACTTTTATCAAATCTTTTTTTCCTTAAAGGCATGACCTCACCCCTCTAGAAAATGGTAAGTGATGAATTGTAAAGCTCATAGGGAAAAAAGAGAATTATATTTTATTTACAATTATAATTACATCCTACCTGGGGTATAATTAGATGGGGCAAGACTCCTTTATTTTAATTCCACAACATGCCTGTGAGATAGATTAGCCTCAGAGGGAATGGCTGACTCCAAATCAGCCATGGAATCCTAAGGCCCTTCAACCTGTATCTTCACAGTCCCACTTCAGTGTCTTCACCATTTCACTACACTGGCCTTCCTAGAACTCTCACTGGACCATAAGGTGGCTTTCTAATGTAGACTTAAGGCATGCTATGGCTCAGCATACATGGATCAAAACTCAGTTTTTAATTTGGCCATGACTATTTTGCATATGGTGTCATTGCTTGTTCCCTTAAATGTGGCCCTTAGGAGGGATATAAAGTCAAGCTGAGCTCCTTGACTTGGGAAAACTTGTGTGGAGAAAGAAAGAAAGAAAGAAAGAAAGAAAGAAAGAAAGAAAGAAAGAAAGAAAGAAAGAAAGAAAGAAAGAAGAAAGAAAGAAAGAAAAGAGGGAGGGAGGAAGGAAGGAAGGAAAGACAGAGGGAGAGAGGAAAGGAAGGAAGGAAAGAAGGAAAGAAAGAAATAAAGAAAGCAGGGAGGGAGGGAAGGAGGGAGGAAAGGAAGGAAGGAAGGAAGGAAGGAAGAAAGAAAGAAAGAAAGAAAGAAAGAAAGAAAGAAAGGAGGGAGGGAGGGAGGGGGGAGGAAGGAAGGAAAGGAAGGAAAGAAAGAGGGAGGGAGGGAGGAAAGGAAGAAAGAAATAAAGAAAGAAAGGAGGAAGGGAGGGAGGAAGGGAGGGAGGAAAGAAGGAAGGAAGGAAGGAAGGAAGGAAGGAAGGAAGAAAGAAAGAAAGAAAGAAAGAAAGAAAGAAAGAAAGAAAGAAAGAAAGAAAGGGGAATCAAAATAATCAAAATGACAGTTGGGATCCTGAAATCAAAATATTAGACATGTAAAAAAAAAAGTGGATCCACCATCTTGCTATTTTTGTTCTCCCTGCAGATACCTCAGGAAGATAGGAGAAGTCAGGTCTGCTTCTTAGTGGAGAATTGTTTCTTCTTTTTCTTCTTCAGTTTCAGCTATACAGAAATGATTCAATGCCCACCAGTGACAGCAGCGACACCTCCAGCTATGGTCTGATCAACACTGGGGAGGCCTCCAAGAACATCCTCTACTCCACCAGCAGTCTGCCTCACACCTTGGATGACCTGCTGGCTGGCATGAAGGTCCCACAGAAAGAAGCCCGCCAGCCTCCACCAGCCCGCTCTAAGGGCAGCACCAGGAACAAAAGCGTCCTCATCAATTTGGACATCAGCGATGGAGAGACCAGTGTCTCGGACAGTGGATCGGAGTCCCCTGTGTATGTGCAGTTGCCGCCACAGCCCACCATCCAGGAGCACACGGTCAGCACCATCAATGCTAAGGTGAGCCTCCTGAGCATGAACGAACAAACTTCGTCATTGGGCATGGGGTGAAACCGGATTTTTGCTAACCTTTGTTTGTTGAGCAAGCCATTACAGCTTGTTCCTTATGTAACCTCAAGCTCTTAAGCCAGAGGTCTTCAAACTTGGCAACTTTAAGACTTGTGGACTTCAACTCCCAGAATTCCTCAGGCAGCCGTGGCTGGCTGAGGAATTCTGGGAGTTGAAGTCCACAAGTCTTAAAGTTGCCAAGTTTGAAGAGCCTTGCCCTAAGCCATAGTTTTAAAAGATGAGATATGGAATGAAGAAAACTTTGGTTGAAATTGTTAGAGAAAGTGATAAGTTACTCAAACTGTTTGTACTTATTTTGATGAAGGGGGAAATAATTTCTTTATATTTCTTCTTTCTTTATATTTTTTTTCCTGTCCCCCTGCCACGTTTCTGCTTCCTGCACTTTTTATTTTATATATATATATTCCTTAGGTTTTTTTCTTCTTCTAAATTTCAATAAACATTATTTTTAAAAAAACAGTCCTAAGCCATGGTGCATACTACAATGCACTAAGCCATATTGTCTTTTAATTGTGATTTGCTCCAAATTACAGTTTAAGCGATAAATAATGATTGACAGATTATAACAGTGTGCAGCAGGAACCAGCTAACAACTCCAGGATGGCTTAGGATGAAATGTGAATCCAGTTAGTCAAATTTACAATGAGGAAAGTCACAGGCCTGTCCAATTCCTGATTTTGTTCTTCCATTTTTTTCACTCATACTGAGGAGAAATAAGCCCATTTTCGTCAGCAATGCTCCAGCTTATCCCCCTCCAGCATAAAAGGAATGTTAACCCAAGTTTTCGGGAAGCAATTAGGTTCGCAGACAAGTTGATCCCTGCTTGTGAGTTCCGGTACAAATTCCAGTTGTCTCTCCTATGCAGGTCTCTTGGGCAGGCCCGCAAAACGGTGAGTTGATTTCCTTCTATGAACTGCAACTGCAGGAGGCTAAGCTAGAAGGCCAAGGGAAAGATATCCACTGGTTCTGCTCACAGACCGAAGAGAACTTGGAAAACCTGACTCCTGGCACCGTGTACGTGTTCCGTGTCAGGGCTCTCAACGTGGCAGGCACAGGGAAGTGGAGTCCACCTTACAAGGTACATACTGCTCTGGGGCTCAGTGAATATACTTGGTATAATGTTGGGTCTCCCAAAAGTCAGAAATACACTACTGAGAGCAAATCTGGTGGATAAACCTAACGTTGTCTACTACTGAGATATGTCCTCAAATGCTTGGGACAGGAAATATATTCAATCATATTTCTGACTTGTCCTGCTTAGTAGGATGTCAAGGCAGTATACATGATTCTCTCCCCAACTTGTATTTCATACTCCAATAATTCTGTGAGGTACATTTGATTAAGACACGATTGATCCAAAGTCACCCAAAAGGTTTAAGGACTGAGTAGATAGTCCCTTCCCAGCCAGCTTTAACACAATAGTTCAGGTTGTATTCAGTGATGGGGCTTACACATTACACTAAATCAGTTTATCTCAACCTTGACCATTTTAAGATGTGTGAACTTCAAAGCTGGGAGTTGAAGTCCACACATCTGAAGAAGAAGTACTGCACTAAACCATGTGTGATTAACAATACCTTACTTAATAAGCCTTTGATTTACTCAAATGTGCTAGGCCAGGGGTAGGCAACTTTGGCTCTTTTATGACTTGTGGGCTTCAATTCCCAGAATTCCTGAGCCAGCCATGCTGGCTGAGGAATTCTGGGAGTTGACGTCCACGAGTCATAAAAGAGCCAAGATTGCCTACCCCTGTGCTAGGCCATGGGTTTCAACCCATAATTATTGGAGTCAACCCATACCTGAAGCCACAATGAAAGAAATATATTCAGTCAATGTGCAATAGTGCAATGGAAAGGGGGAAATCAGCTTGGATGGATGAATGCATGGGATTAGAGTTCTATGCTCCTGAATCTTCCAGAGTTCATGGTATCTTACAGAAATGGAAAATAGGCAACTCCACAAGCATTCCCATTGCAATATATGAGCCCTTATACATCTGACTTCTATTCTTCCTAAATTTAGTGAGGACACCACTTCAGCAAAAATGGGCAGAATATTACAATAAACCTTTAATGTCGATTCTTGCAGTTTTGCACGATGCATCCAGTCCCAGGCATGCCCCTGGATCCATCTCCTGTTACTGTCACTGTACGAAGGTGTCGGAAATCCCAAAAGAAAACTATCTTTATTCCATCCTCCTAAGACTATATGCACCAGGGCAATAAAGGATGACATTTCTGATCTGCTTCAGGATCACTGACCTTCTCTCTCTGTATGTTACTTGGAGTCTTAGCAACTCTGCACACAAAAATTACCGCCTACTACAGGTAATTTTTCTCTGTGATGATCTGTCCCCAACTGGTCCTTCAAATCCTCCCATAATACAACTATTACCACTATAAGTGAGGCTATCCAGCTTGTTGCTGGTCCTTCTCTTAGATTAGAGTTGGGTCTTCACATAATATGCCCGAAGTGGGATAATTTGATAGTTTTAGAGAATTAGCTTTATTCCAACTTCATTACAAAAATGGCCCAACAATCAGTCATAACTGTTGCTGTGTGCTCACTGAGATATTTTGGAAGAGGGAAGTTAACCCCCCCCCCGACATATTTCTATTAACCAGAGTGTTCCACCAACTCTGCTTGCATCTCTTCTGTTGTCGATGTGAATTATTTTTCATGCAGGCAAGCAGTTTATATCAATAGAAGAACTGAAGCATAAAAAAGCATAAAAGAGCTGCAGTAAGGGGTCTCTATTGCTTTAGAGTTTGGGGGATGATTTTACACAGCACCAAATACTCCTGGGACATCAAATTACTCCAAACAACCATATGGAGATTAAGAAAATATGGTCAAAACGATAGGTCTCTGGAGAATGGACAGGTTATATTTTGACGAAGAAGAATGATGCATTACAAGAATGTTAAAGTTAGTTTCTGTTATGGGATGGAGGCTGACAGAGCATTTTGCAGAGGGCTTAGAAAAAAAAGTTAAAATGGTGTCTGTGGTTATGTGATCAAAGCCCTACCCTGTGACACCTATAAAAAAGAGGCAGGGCTTCAAACATATTTTTAACTATATATTATTTAATGAAATATATTTATTGTTGTAGTATTGTCCTGTATTTTGAATTTCTGACAGTTACCTAATATTTACTTTCAATTTTTAATGGAATAATCTGGAGCAGAAAATTAAGTTTTTGTAGACTACAGTCATTTTCACTATGACAATTTAAACTTTCTCCACATTAAAATATCTGCGACTGTATTTTTCCAAATCTGTGAACAATTATCTTGAAATAAATCTTTATCATTACTTGTCAAACAGATTCCTACAGTAGATATTTGATCTTTTTAACAGCAAGACTGAACCCCAATTTTGGTCCAAGTATTGCTTTTCCCACCGCAATTAAATTCCATGTCAATCACCAACTCCATTTTGACTTTTTTAATTCCTTGTGGATTCTTCTACAGTTAAACCAAGTTTCCATTGATAGATGTAGATGTACATTATAGATGTAGCTAGATAGATCCACGTGCAATGATAAATTCAGGAACAGAGAATACATTTTGAATCAAAGAACCAATTTTTTTTAAAAAATCTTTTAATTGATAGTCAGGTTATCTTGATTTTTAAAAAATGCACAATAACCATGCAATTCCCTGAATGGTACTGCTAGCAACGGCTGTCGCTCTAGTTTAGTTTGTGCTATGCAATCTACTTAGAGTCTGGAATGTGATCCAAAGAATGTTAGGGTTGTTTTAATGGCTGTGGAGGGCCTCATGAATGGGCAATTCACCTGCCCAGAGGTGGGAGGCACTTGAGAAAATGCCAAGGATGAAAGAAAATAGCATCACAGCTTGGAAACATGGAGATGCAGGGAGGGGAGAAAAGAAGCAGAAGTTGCTTACACTTTAGAGCTACTTAGCACCCAGGAGGCATTTCCACAATTAGTAGGCCGTGTAATTAAAACAAGCTGCACAGAGTGCTTAATATTAACTAGCAATGCCCTTCCCGTGGCCAGGCTCTTTCTGTCTAACATAATGCATTTGCCTCATTGCTGAGAAATGGGTTCAATTAGCATTTGGCTAGGGAGATGCTAACGGTGGTTCTCATGAGATGTCTCCATGGGCTGGCTGGGATAGGTCACAAAATAAGGCATAGCTGAGTGAATGGAGAACAGGCCTGTAGAGCAGAGGGCCTCAACTTTTGGGGCACCAGGGACCAGATATGTGGAGAGAGGTTTCTCTGTGGACTGGAGGGGGCGTGATTTTGTGTGCTGCCTGCATCCTGCAGAACGGGGCTTTGCTCGTTTGTGCGGACTGGTTGCTGGCATGCCATGGCCTGGTACTGGTCCACACACCGGGGGTTGGGGACTCCTGCTGTAGAGCATAAGGGTCTGCTACAAAGTGTGCTGACAAAATAATGGCAAAATATGGTAAGAGGAAGCCTTTCCTGACCAATAATGATGAGCCATGTTTTAGATCTAACATATCCCAATTGTGGTTGGCTACCTTATATAGCTCATTATCCAAAATATTATTCTTTTTTTTCTACTTGGTACATCTATGGTTGTCCCATGGGTGCCTTTTCCAAAAGAAAATTGTACTTTCTTGGGTTTTTTTTAAAAAAAACATTTCACTTCACATCCAAGAAGCGAAGGAAGGAAATTCAATTAAAGAGGCTTCTTGGATAATAAATGTTTTCAAAGGAAAAAAAAGAAAGTCCAGTTGCCTTTTGGAAAAAGCACTTCTGGTTCCACTTGGTATGGAACCTTGTGTTTTAAGAACAGTTTTATGTAATATATTTGCAAACCTAATCTTGCCATATTAACAAAGTTGCCCAAAAAAGTTCACTAACCACTCCAGGAGGATCTCCCTGGACCCAGAGATCATACCTCCTGCAAAGATTTATTAATATGATGTTGCAATCAGTTTGTTATATACAAATGAGATCAGGTGCCCTGCTCTCTTGTTTTGTATACCTTTTATTTATTGTTGAACTATATAAACAATTACTTTTCCACTTGGATGTATCGTCTGAATGACTATTTCTACATACTAAACTCTTCAGTTTTATGCACTTGTTTTCTACAAGAATTACATCTGCTGCTATGGTGATATCTACTTATTAGCTGTACATTTCAAAGTTAATAAATTGATCACTGTATTCCATTGCTAAGGAAATTACAAATAGCAAAGCTCCTTTTAAGTAATGATGATAAATTTAGCTCATTTTCTACTTTTCTTGATCAGTTTGACTAAGGTACGGATATAATTAGTGCTGATTTGGCCTATAATTATCTCTAGTTCCTCAGTAAGAATTAAAATTACTTTAAAACATAATAAATATTTTTATTTTTATTCCCTTTGGTTGGTACATGTATCTCAGTCAGATGAAAACTGTTTCCTATGCAGTACAACCAACTTCTCCCTGGCTGAAGAAACACCGGGTTTTCTTTAGCAGCCAAATAATTTTCAAAGAAAATTCCCATCAGGTGGGTGATGCAGGCTGAAGCTAAATAAAATAGATGGGAGTTTGCATAAAGAAAATCAATGGCATTTCATATTGGCTGGTGAATTGCAATCTAATCTGATTTATCTAGCTTCAACATTAAATTTGAAGGGAACCACAGGGATTTAAGAAAAAATCCAATATAATCCTACCTACAGTATACAATAGATAAGTTCACAGTATGTTTAAACCAGTTACCGGATTATTGTAGTTGCTAATTGCTTTAGGGTTTTCTTGCAATTTTAAAATCTCCTCTCACAGTTACTACATTCTATGCTGGTCTTGTATTATGATTCATCTTGGACCAGAAATAAATTTTGATTTGATGATGAATTACTTTGATTGCACAATAACCAAAGCCATTTTGTAATCAAAAGGTGTGCATTCAAATACCAAATCATTCTCCAAAGAACACCCAAATCTAAAACTCAGCTTAGTAAAGGGTATACAATTGTACCGTCTTAGAGTGTTATGCAAAGTTATTTATTGGGAAAGTTTATGAAGTCATTTAATGGATTTTGAGGATAGCAAATTATGTTTTTTTTTAAAGATATTGCTTTATAGCAGGAGTGTCAAACTCCCAACGTCAGGTGACGTATCACGATGTATCATGACTTTTTTGCCATTGCTGGCAATGGGGTGGGTGCAGTTTTGCTATGATGCATCTGGTCTGCGGGCCAGCAGTTTCCCCGCTTTATAGCTTCATTTGTTTGACTCACAAGTGTGCTTTGAGCAATTGCCACCAGATGGTGTCAGAAAACATCATTCTTCAAGATCTACCTTAAGATTTCTCTGTTTGTGTGTGTGAGAGAGGGGGGGGGAGGGAGAGAGGAGGAAGAGGGAGGGAGAGAGGAGGGAGGGGAGGGGAGGGAGGGAGGGAGAGAAAGAGAGAATGAGAATATTTGTGATTCTGGGCAATTGTCCGGACAAGTCCCCGCAGTTTTCTTGTCAAGGTTTTCCAGAAGTGGTTTCCCATTACCTCCTTCCTAGGGCTGAGAGAGCTGGCTTTGTGCCTAAGGCAGTACTACTCTCCTGGTTCCTAACTTGATGCCTTAACCACTACACCAAAATAGGTCTCTGAGATCCATTGACCAATGTTCTACAAAGCTGTAAGAGCAATTCTCATACACAGTAATCTATGAAAAGTGTGACAGCAAATCGGATCATTACAAAAACCAGGGACAGATGGAAGTTGATCCTCTCTTGCTATATAGGGGGCTAGACAGGGCCCTATCCCATATAGAGAGCCAAAATACTGATTCTGGAAACAAGGCTTGTCTTGAAACAGTGCAATTGCTATAATTCTTTCATGATAGCTACATAACTTTTCTTCAGTTTATTAATTAGAAGTTCTTGGATTCTCGTGGGTTTATTTGGTTGCAATCTGGCCTCTTTGGAGAATCCTAATTTTAGCAGAAAATAGAACTGACAGTAGAAATACTGTAGCCTTCCTTTCCTATCTAAAAACAGGAACAGCCAACTTCTACAGAATGGATGAAGGTACTTTGTACTGAGCCATACCCAATATCTACAGAGTCAGCACTGCCAACTTCCAGAACTTCTAATAATCAACTTCTGCCGAGTCTGTAAAGGTATTTGATGCTGAGCCACTTTATTGATCTGTCTGGGCCAGAACTACACTATGCTGCTACAAAAACTCAAGAACCAAACTAGCGATAGTAATTGCCAGCCCCCTCCTGAATTTTATTTTTGTGAATGGGTCTCACCCTCCCACATTAAAATGCCGACAATCCTTTGAAACAGAACAGGCTAAGAATGCTTGGCAGGGTGAAAAACTGCTACTTATTCCCATTGTCTTTTTTATTGCCAGAAGGCAAGGATTTATTTATTTATTTATTGGTATGGAGCAAGAGTTAAATTATTTAAAGCAAGGATCCAATTTTTAACTGTCAATTATGGTGGGTTGAATTCAAAGAGCTTCTCTATCAAGAAAGGCCTGTCTTCCCCACTCTTTCCACTGAAAATCTGCATCTCTTCATCCCCTGCTTAGACCCATCCAGATGTTCTAGACACACATCATATTGATCATAGGAATGACACCGGCAAGCCAGAGCAGGTGAAATTCAATCGTCTTTATTTATGAACAAACCCTATTCTATTGTGATGGCAGCTGGTTCTTAGGACCAGCCCCAGAGGGAGGGGATCTGAGCAGGGGGGAGAGGTCAGAGTATTCTCCAAACAGCCAAAATGGCCTGGCAAGGTAATCATGGATCTGGGAAGGGAAAATGTGGAGGAGGACAACGGGGTGATGGCATTGCTGTGACGGTTGGTCTGCACCAATTCCAAGGCCAAGCTCAGCCACCAAAGCCCAACACAGGGCACCGTGACAACCCACATCTCTGGGACAGAGGGAGAGAAGCAAAAGTCTCCTCCTCCATCAGATTTCTATTCCAAGGCGTCTCTCCTTTGCAAAGACCGTCAATACCTGCATTGCCTGCCAGCCAGCCAGCTTGGAAGGAAACCTTGGTAGAAAATTAAGTGAACGGTGGCGCCTGTGCTAGCAATGGGCCTTTGGGTGGCACAATCCGTACCTGCCCCAGAGAGTTCGCTCTGCATCAGTTAGGACAGGGTTGGCATCCGAGCATTCCCTCCATGGCTTAGGAACCATTAGGTAGTTGTCTTCTACCCAGTCTTCACTCAACCCATTGCTGGCTGCGGCCACTCAGAAGTCCAGATCCATCTTGAGGCATAGAAGAGAAAGATGGGGTCCTCTCCACAGACCCATCGAAAGTGCTGGTTGCGAAGTAACCGAAAGAACTCGAAGCGCGAGAAATGTGCAAAACATCAGAAAGCGCAAGTGCTCATAAAGGAAAGAGGCCTCTGGCCGGCCTGGGGGGGCCACCGTGGGAGAGAACCTCAAGCTTTGCATTACGTGAGCAAGCCACCATGCTATGTTCTCATCATGCTAATGGCAGGGGCAATTCTCACTCCGGAAGGTGATAACCTGGGACTGAAAGAGCGAAAGCCCTGTCAGGAGAAACCCACCCTTCCCCGAAAAATATGCATGACTGTCTCTGAGTGGCTGGCTTAGATACAGAGCTCTGGTATTAAAAATAGCATGCTTTCATTAAGGAAAAGGACCGTGCAGTGGGGGGAGGGGCTGCTTGGCTCCAGCTCACTTCTTCTCTGGGCTGCTGATGGCTCTGCTGAGTCACTTTGCCTCTTCTCCACTTCTTGTCAAAGCCTCATCCCTGGAAAATTGTGCATAATGCAGCATTAGATCACCTTGATGGCAAAAGGTAACCTAAGATTAAACCTGAAGTCTCTCCGAGGCCTGGGAGTGGGGAGTTTTGCAATATTGGTGCTACGAGTCGTTATTAGTGGACCGCTTGCTAAGGGGCATGGGTCATTGGGGACCAGCTGCTAAAATCTTCTATCCCCTTGCCCTCTGAAGGGGAGGATCATCACAAGTGTCATGATATCCTCGTGGAATTAACATGGAAAGAGTTGCTGATATAACGTCATTGACACACTATGACATCACGGCACAAATGACATCTCTGCTGCTTGTCCTAGCCTGGTGTATCTTCTCTTACCTGTTGCAATTTCCTCTTCTGGAGAAGAAAGGAAGTAAAGTCAAACTTCGCCTTCCTGCTGTTCAACCAGTGGGGGTGGATTGTAAATAGCTTTTTAAAACTCCATCCTAACTTTGAACAGTTGTACAGTTGAGGATTGTCTGTATGATATTCATTTATTTTAGATGATGATGATGATGATAATAACAATAATGAACATACCTTATAAAAACCAGGAATCCCAGTGCCCGCCAATGGCCTGGCCTGGGCTATTCAGCTACCTGCACCCCTGTGCAGTTTTCTTTACTTTCCGACGTGATGGCCAAGTATTCAGAACTGTTAGGATACAGAAAGATGTGAGCATACTTCAGAAATGGAGCTGAGCTCACGTTCCCCCACTCCTCCCTTACGCAATATGAACTCCAGTAACTGCTGGAGGTTTCATCACTACCAAATGCTAAGCCAGCCTTCAGTATTTTTTCAAGACGTGATGTGCTTTGGTACCCCAATAAAATCAAGTGACTCAGTTAGGAGACCCAGAACACCCCCTTCTCCCTGGGAGGGAGACAAAGCTAGTGACAAGCCAGTTCCTTGCATGATGCCAAGGTAGAAGAATGAAAAGAGGGGGAATCAGGGTTGTAAGCAGCAGAATAAGCCTTATAGAAGGATGAGTAATAGTTGCAGGACATCTTGATTTATGGAAAGCTGGAGAGCCCAACAGAGAGGGCAAGGATGCAAAATGAGTGGGGCTTATGGTCAAGCCAGGATTCATGATCCATCAAGTCTCCAGGAGTAGAGTTTGACTCCATTCCTTCTAGACGTTTTAGGCCTACCAAAGCTCCTTTAACTTCCTTGTGAGCATGCAGAAGCTGCTTGAGACCCAACGATTTTAAGAGAAGTGAACCTCGTGCTTTTTCAAATCACATGCTTTTTGCAATCACAAGAGACAAAGGAAAAGGTCTGTCCTTGAAAAGAGTGAATCAATCAGCTAAGTGTGATAATGATGAAACAAAAAATATACATCTTGGCTTTGTCAACAGCTTAGGAAAGCAAGCAAGTATACTTTCTCTCTCTCCCACTGGACAAGTTCAATCCTCCTCCCACACGTGCTCCAGAGATTTTCCTTTGCTAATGTATATACCTACTTAACTATCCACTGTCCCATCCCAGCCTTATCCAGTGTAGAACCTTAGTGGACAGGACATAGGGAATGGCCTTGAAAAATAGGAGGACAAGCCACTGCCAAGTAATAGTCAGTTAAGAGGGGCTTGAGCCTGGATCAAGAAACTAGTTTGAGTAATTATCTAGTTACTCAAAGATAAAGTGAAGAGGAAAGCACATTCAATTTTGCAAGAACCTGTTACTATTTTTGTTACAATAACAACTACAATGACCTATATGACATCGGTTTCTTTGTCTGGTCTACCTTGCTGGGTTGATGCCTAGTGCCATAGAAGCTGCCAGGAGCAATGTTTGATGTCAACGTCAACTTGGGCATTCTGGTTTCTGTATGAACTGCTCATCAGTACTCAAAATACACAATTGGTAGCTTCATCCCAGAGCATCATGGGTTACTATACAACACTGGGTAGCTAATAGCCACTCAATACAGTTAGAACTTGGAACCCCCATATTGTTCTTCTTCTGCCCTAACCCACTCTCCTTACGCATTTTCTTGAGCAGCTGCTTCTGTTGCTGCAGCAATTTTCTTGTAGCAATAGATCATCTCAGCTACCAGCCAGATCGTCAGGACAACAATGAGGACATACATCATGATTTCGGAGACAATAGATGCCATATCCCGATTGGCTATGGATGAAAAGGGAAGACAGAGATAGGGCTATGTGAAGTACAGGCATCCAGGTTTAGCTAAAATTGGTTACTCTGGGCCCCTTTTTGCTAGAATGGAAATGGATACTGAGGTTTTGAGAAACTGTGGCTCATGGACCACAGGCAAAGAATGACCTTGTTTCATCTGGAGGTGAACACACTTACTCTGGGGCTCTCTGGCACATTCCTAAAACTCAACGGGATTCTTTCCAGTAACTATTCTCAGAGTTCTCTTTAGCCTGATTTACTTGGATGAGCAGAATGGAGCCACAAGAATGCCAGCATTTCAAGGATATTTCTCTAAAGTGTGGATTTTCTCTTTTTAACAACTTTCTATGATCCACCAAGGAACTGGATCTTCTCAATGACAATGGAGAAGTTTGCAACTGGCTGCCTACATAACATTTTTTGCTCAATCTAAGAACAAACTATTATACCTAGTCTATCTGTGGCTCTATCTCTTTTGATTCTGGCTATATCCATCCTTACTTCTGGTTATGCTCGTTGGTGGAATGCAGGCAAGAACCCACCCCTTCCTTCTGACTCCATTCACATTGGACTTACTTTTACCTGCTGTAGGAGTGTCAGCTTTGAGAACTAGGATAGGTTCTGAAACTGCCAGATTGGACGCCGTGGAAAATAAGATGGTTAAAAAGATGCTCTGATCCATAAGTAATCTGAGGTTTAAACTCTCCAATCGTCTACAGCATGCTAAGGTACCCTTGCCTGCTCCACAGTCTTTGAACTCCAGCTTTGTGCTTACCTTTTTCAACCACATCAAGATGGATGGTTTTGTTGACCATGATGTTGTAGGAGAACTCATTGGCAAAATGGAGTGTGCGGTTGACACTGCAGATGTATTCCCCTGCGTGTTCGAAAGTCACGTTCAGGATGAAAATGGAGACATCCTGCAAATCTGCAATTTTCTTGGTACCATTCCAAACCACTAGATTTTCAAAGCGAGGATCATACACAACGAGCTTTTCATAGAAATCATAGTGAAGAATCTGGAGAAAAGACGGAGAGGATCCTATCGGAACCAGGAGAAACAATATTGCACACAGAAAACTACAGCCCTTCAGTAATACAGGTAGTCCTCGATTTACAACAGTTCATCTAGTGACTGTTCAAAGTTACAACAGCACTGAAAAAAAAGTGACTGATGAGGGGTTTTTTCACAGCTACGACCATTGTAACATCCCCATGATCGTGTGATCAAAATTCAGATGCTGGTTCATACTTAGGACCATTACGGCATCCTGGGGTCATGTGATCACCTTTTGCAACCTTTGCACAGTCAATGGAGAAGCCAGATTTACTTAACAACCAGGTTACTAGTTTATCAACTGCACCGATTTAACTTAACAACTGGGGCAAGAAATGGGGTAAAACTGACTTAACAAATGCCTCAGTTAACAAACAGCTGAAGAGCAGGTAGTGCTCTCCTAAAATCTTCCTGCTTTGCTCCAGCACTCACCTTGACCAGGTCGGTTGTCCCCTCTTCTTTGAAGTACCATTCAGTAAAAGCTTCTGCCTCTGTTTCACTGCGCCTTTTGCACGAGATGCAACGGATCTTGAAAGTCTCGCCAACTACGGCCTCCGTGTCTGCATCCACCTCCACGCAGCCACCTTGGCACAGGGTCACTGAAAGAGAAGAGATCAGAAAAATTACAGACAGATATAAAAAAAACCCTTCCTGATCTGTTTCCAGCTTTTACATCCTCCGTTTTTTTTTTTTTGTTTTAAGATTTTATTTTAAAACCTTTAAGGAACAAAATAAAATATAAAATATAACATTTATTACTTCAATGGTTAAATAATTAATGGAATATATAAAAGTAGATTCCTTATATCATCTTAGGAAGTAGCATACAGTAAATTGCGACAATACTCTAAACCAGGGGTCCTCAACCTTGGCAACTTTAAGACTTGTGGACTTCAACTCCCAGAATTCCTCAGCCAGCTTTGCTGGCTGAGGAATTCTGGGAATTGAAGTCCACAAGTCTTAAAGTTGCCAAGGTTGAGGACCCCTGCTCTAAACCTTAATACTTATATGGATATCACCATTATTGGTCATCATTCCTAATCAAGGAGAGAAGCAACCTGGAATGAAGGAAGAACTTCCTAACAATGAGGACAATTAACCAGCAGAACAAATTGCCATCAGAAGTTGTGGTGCTTCATCACTGGAGGCTTTTAAGAAAAGACTAGACAGTCACTTGTCTAAAATGATATAGGGCTTCCTGCTTGAGTAGGGGGTTGGACTAGAAGACCTCCAAGGTCCCTTTCAACTCTATTCTGATTGACTGGAGTTGATTTACTTCACCATAACCTAGTTAATGATATATAGCTTGTGAACCAGGCATTCTTAGTTTAAATCTGAATAAGGATGATTTTTTTTCCTTCAAAAAGTGATAAAGCAGTTTATACAAAGCTTCAAAAATGCTTCTGACTATTTAAATATATCTCCAGCCATCCTGGATACCCAGACAAACTCAGCTGTGAAGCACCAAGTAGCAGAATGTCATGTTGAAGCACCTCTTTGAAAATCCCTTGCTTCAAATAGGCTTCTGTTATGGAGATCCCACTCCGCTTTATCTCCCAAGCGGAGACAGAGTGGCAGGTGAATATGCTGATAGCCTCCTTTTTAGACATTTGGGGTCTCAGCAAACACTTTAACCTGCCCATTCATTTGACGTTGATCATAGAAATTGAACTGCAAGCAGGGAGGTGGAGAAAGGATGTTTTGGCATGCTCTTTGTTTTCCTTTTTGAAAATAAAATAAAATAAAATAAATATAAAAGGAGAGAGAGTTACATGCCTAAGGAAGAACAATCTCAAGAGGAAGCAATTCCAGATAGTGTAATCTGATGCATGTTTATTCCAAAGCAAACCTCACAGAGTTCAGCGAAGTTCATTCCCGTAGCTGCCAAAATTGTAATCAGATAAATTACTCCAGCTTCTGGAGAAGGACAGATTATGCATTGAAATAGGAAGATGAAAGTGTGTAACTAAAGCTACAATAATGTATAGATAGTCCTTGACTTACAACAATTTGTTTAGAGACTGAAGTTACAACAGCACTGAAAAAACTGACTTGACCAGTCCTTGTACTTATGACCACTGCAGTCATGTGATAAAATTTTTGAGTGCTTGGCAACTGATATGTATTTACAACAGTTGCAGTATCCTGAGGTCACATGATCACTGTTTGTGATCTTCCCAGCCAGCAAAGTCAATGGAGAAAGCTAGATTTGCTTAATGACCATGTTATTCAATTAACAACTGCAATGATCCACTTTGCCACCATGTCAAAAGAAAAAGTAATAGTAGGCATAACTCAGTGAACCACTGCTTTGCTTAGCCTCAGAAATTCTGCTCTCCATTGTGGTTGTAAATCGAGAATGACCTGTAACTCATTGCTTAATTTGGCAACAGATACCCACCAAACTGAAAACTCTAAGCATATATAAAAATCTAGGCTCCTCCCCATTTTGGTTTCTCAGAAGTTGCAAAGGTGACAGAGAAACACAATATTCAGGAGCCTGGGGAACATTTACCGCTTTGGGAATTTTATAGAATTGTCAACTTGGGAGATTTTGAGATGCAATGTACCTTCTTTCTAAGCACCATTTGGCCTCAACCCACAAGCTGTCAAACAGCACTTGAGCGAGAGCTCTGCAAATTTAATGATTGGAAAATGGGTTGAGCATTCATTTTAAACAGCATCCAAAACCAAACATTTCCACCAATGTTCAACTTGCTTAATGCTAACAGCCTACTTTGCTGGGATTTTTAAACAATTGTGACCCTTTTTCCCATCTCTAATAAGGTAATCAATTTCCTATTAAGATGTTATTTTCTCTGTAATTTCAATACTGAACCAGTTAGAATTTATTATTAGATTCTAGATCTTTAAAGCTGCAATTCCTGGGCATCTAGCAATAAGCCCCACTGAAAATTAATTTCTGCACAAAGCTGTCCAATGTTTAGAGGAAACAAACTTACGTCAATAAATCCACATAGGGCAAACCTAGGATAAGAAAGCCAATGGCTCTAAGCTGCTGGAAACATTCATAACAGATTAATTATTGTTATAACCCATTACAGCACAGTTACAATCCTGCCACCTAAGCAAAAGACTCCAGCCACATTGGTTTGTACAACAGAAGACTGCCCCTCCATTCAATGCGCACAAGAGCCAGAGAGGGCCACACCTGATATAAACATGCACCTACAAATTTGGTTACTGTTTTTTTAGAGGATATTATTTGTGTGTCATTTGCAAAGAGCATCACACAATCTAAAGTGAGGCCATTGATTTGCTCAGTAATGGAATTGCTTTGGAACTTCTAATTCCAAAGGCTTTCCAGAAAATCAGCTGGAGGCAGGCCCAGAGCCAAACAGCTGCAGCAGAAACTGGAACTGAATGGAAGCTGCATTGTATGTTTGAATATATGCAAAGGATATTTTATGAACCATTAAGTAATTTCAGATTGCCCCAATATTCAGAGTTAGAATTTAGATTTAAATTAGGAGAGAAAACATTCTAGATCAGGGTTGCCCAACGTTGGCAACTTGAAGATGTGTGGACTTCAACTCCCAGAATTCCCTAAGCAGCCATGCTGTCTGTGGAACTCTGGGGGTTGAAATCCACAAGTCTGAAAGTCGCCAAGGTTGGACACTCTGTTCTAGATTGAATACTGAACACCCTATCAATTCTAAGAAATAATTTGCTATGTCATTCAAAGCAAGAACACACAATATTCCAGGGACAGGAAACACTTTCAGACAAGCAATTACAATTCTGTGCCTTCTGAGGAGACAACTTTGTATGGAGGCCAACACAGAAAAACACAAGAGCCTAGCTAGTATTACCATGCATCTAATCTAGTAGCTTTTTGTCAAGAAATATTAGCAAGATATTCCAGGATATTTCTATTGTCTCTCCAGGGCACCTGGTATTTAAAGATATATTGCCACCAGATGTGGAGGCTCCATTGAACACTGCCTTTCAGAAAGAAAAGTAGCACACAGGATTGCATTAGAGAGTCAGTTTGGTATACTGGTTAAAGTACAGGCCTAGAAACCAGGAGGCCATAAGTTCTAGTTCCATCTTAGGCATGAAAGCCAATTGGGTAACTTTGGGCTAATCACCAGGAGATTGTGAGTTCTAGTTCAGCCTTTAGCATGAAAGTCAACTGGGTGACCTTGGGTCAGGCATCCTCTCCTCTTGTTGTGGGAAAAACAGGAGGATGAAGGAGTATTAAGTATGTTTTCCACCTTGAGTTACTTACACAAAATAAAAAAGGCAGGATAAGAATAAAATAAATAAATCAACTATCCAGTCCTGTCCAAATCTAAGGGGTGGTGCTCATCTCAGTTTCTTAGCCGAGGGAGCTAATATCCAAAGATATTTCCATGGTCATGTGGCCAGCATGGCGATACACCAAAGGTGCATGGAACACTATTACTTTCTCACCTAAGTGGTACCTGTTTATCTACTTGCATTTGCAACGCTTTCGAACTGCTAAGCAGGAACTGGGGCATGTAACTGGAACTCATCCCATCAGGCCTCGATTGACTACGTAATCTTAAATTCTTGTTACATAAAATACACACTGCATATTTTGGAGGTACAACATGCTGCACAGGGATTGGAGCTTTTTACATCTGGTGCAGAGATCAGCAAATGGCTTCATGTTGCCTTTCTGGCTTTAAGCCAGCGGTAGGATTCAAATAAGTGAACAACCAGTTCTCTGTGTGGATGCCGCTTCCAGAAGTCCATTCTGGGCCTGGCCAACAACAAAATAACTACCGGTTCTGCCGAAGTGGTGCGAACCGGCTGAATCCCACCACTGCTTTAAGCCATTACACCTTTTATCCCATTTCACAACTCAGCTTCTAATTTAAAATGACATGAACTCAAATTGAGGGACAATCTCACCCTCCCTAATTACGTCTTCCCATCCCATCAGGTTCAGCAGGAACGGCATGTTCCAAGTCCCATCCACTAAGGAGTTCTTTCGGATGGGATTCAGGAGCAAGGCCTTTTCAACTGTGGCCTCTCACCCTTTGGAACAACATCCCTCCACCCAAGTGACATTAGTCCTGATCCTATTGGCATTTAGGAAATCCCTCAAATCCCTGCTTCCTCTAACGGGCTTGGGGATCCCACAGAAACAGGGAGCCTGCAAGATGGTTACAGTGCATGCAAGATGCTGGCCCATTCTCATACAGTCTTACGGTATTTATATTTGTGTGTAAACAGTTTTTAATAGTTTTTTTAAATTTATTTTAACTGGTTGTTTTATTATACGTTGCCTAGAATCACATCTGCGAGTTGGGCAGCTATAAAAATCTGAAGATAGATGGATGAGACTTGGTGGAGGATAGATAGAAGTAAATAGAAGACAGAGGACAGATGATAGATAGCTCTAATGAATTAGTTTAATGATACGATATGATTTTGTAAGCCTAATTAATGTGAGCCTGTCCACTTTCCTTGTTGCCAGGTTTCATAAGCCGAGTTCTGAACAACCAAGTGTAAAGAATCTCACTTTTAATGAAACACATTCTGAATTTCTGACAAAAAGCTCAACCACGCTTACAGAAGCCATTCACTCCACTTTGGAGATCCTGGT